AAACATTTCCCAGGCCTGCTTATGCTCAGTGCCTTGTCCTGTTACCCCCTAGATCAAGTTATTAAATTACATCTTTCATTAGCTTGCCCTTTCTTGCTTGCAGAGTTAGAGATGTTAGGATAAAAAAGGAAATCTAAATACAATTCTGTGATTATTCTTTGATTGTAAGTAAACTTTTCAAAATGCTAATCATAATAAGGATATAATAAGATCAGTGCTTTCTCTAACATGGTTTATTGAGATAGATTTTTTTTTTTGTAATTTAACTTGTCTTCTTTTTTTTTTTTTTTTTTATTTGAGAGCTGGGGATTGAACTCAGGCCCTTGTGCTTGCCAGGGAAGCACTTATTCTACTGAGCAATCTCCCTGGCCCAAGGCATCTATTATAAATGGGAACATAAGTGTGTATGCACCCAAAGTGTAAATTTTTTTTTGTGGAATTGGGGATTGAACTTAGGCCCTTGCACTTGCCAGGGAAGCGCTTATTTCACTGAGACTTCTCCCCGGCCCCTAAAGTGTAAGTTTTGCTTATCATTAAGCTTTGTATCTTCTTTTTTGTAGTCCCAAAGATTGACCGTGGGGCCCTTGAAAAGAAAAACATTTTTTTAATTGTATTTTGTACAGGGTCTCACTATGCAGCTCAGACTCACAGTGATCGTTCTGTTTTCAACCTTTCCAGCACTGGGATTACAGGCATGTGCCACCATGCCGGGACTTGGTTGCCAGCGCAGCGCGCCTGTGGGCAGAGGTGGTGTGGCGTGTGGTGCCAGGGACTGAAACCTGGTCTCTGCGCTTGCCTAAGCAGGCGATCAGTGTGCTAAGCTAATTCACAGGCCCTGCAAAATTTTTTGAGACAGCATCAGCATTGCACTAAATTGCTTAGACTGGCCTCAAACTTGACATCCTTCTGCCTCAACCTTACAAGTAGCACTTGATACCGTTAGGTAAGGACAGTATCATTAAGCCACAGCCCCAACCCAGGAATGTGGCACTGTGGTTGTTTGTATCTTAACCCCTACCCCTGGCTATGCTTGAATCAGGGTTTTTGATAGGTGACTGACTCATGGGGGTAGTATTCCTAAGTGCGACTGATGTTAGGCGGCTGGGGCTGGGGGAAGGGCAGTCATGGGGTCGGGGGATGACCTTTAAGGGTGCGGCTCCTTCCCCGGCTCCCTTGGCCCTGCTCCCCCTAGCCCCACGATGTGAGCAGCTCTTCTCCCCTAGGCTCCTCTGCTGTGTCATCCAGCCTCAGAGCCAGTGGATTACAGACTGCAAAAGTGAGCCAGAATAAACCTCTCCTCCTTCAGGCTGTGTCAGCACCAAGGAAAACGACTCGCTGAACCACGTTGTAAGATGGCGCTGTCCCTCCTTCGCTGCTAAGCCCCAGCCCTCCTGCTGCTGGGGCTCGGGCAGCTTCTCCTCTCTCTGCAGGACACCACTCCACCAAGAGGCCATCCGTACCTGCGGGCACGGTCTCCTGGGTAGACACTGAGTCACTTCCACTTTCCAGCCCAGCCCAAGAGGCCACATTCACACATCCCCTGATGCACGCAGCACGCTGTGCTGAGCCACAGCAGAGGCCAAAGTTCACTGTTGCTGCAGGGCACACCCACCCTGCACAACCCTGGCATGCTCACTCATTGGTCTAGCCCCAGCAGCAGGGCACATGGTCCCTCACTTACTTTTTTTCTTCCTGTAGTTTTTCCTCTTCTTAAACTTCATGTTGACCTTTGGCCATGATTCTGTCTTTTCAATGACTGTGGCTTCAACTCGAACAAGATCCTTTCTGGAAGGAAGAAAAATAAACGATGAATTTTCTTATTTTCCTTTTTTTTTTTTTCCTCAGTGCCAGAGATTGAACTCAGGCTCTTTGTTATGCTAGGCAAGCACTTTACCACTGAGCTACAACCTGGCCCTATTTTTCAGTTTTGCTAATGTCTTACTAAAATTCCTGAGAATACTTAAAATTAAGTTTTACTTTTCTTTCTGATTATGCAGTACAAATAATATGCCCTCATTGTAAACATTTTATCTTTTTTTATGTCTTTGGTACAGGGTCTCACTATGCAGCTCAGTAGTGATCCTCCTGTTTTCGGCCTCCCCAGAGCTGGGATTACAGGCATGTGCCACCATGCCTGGTCTCAGTGGCTGGCTCAGGGCGGGCCCAGCACTATGTGGTACCCCCTGCATTTGCCTAAGCAGGCGCTTAGTCCGCTGAGCTATCTTGCTGGCCCTCCTCACTGTAAACATGTTGAAAACTACAAAAAAAGCACAACAAAGAACAGTTGTTGGTCAAAAAATTCTTAAATTCTGTAATGTAATAAATTAGAAGCAGACCAACAGTCTGGCCTGGTTGACTCCTCACAGGACAGTGAAGATCCACCAGTCTAACCCTGGAAAGCGCTGTGTCGGGCTGGTCATGACTGTGCATGCTGGCCCTCCGCCCACCCGGCAGCACTGGCTGCGCCTACACATCCTGGCTCCAAGAACCCGCATCTAGTGGTGCGTTACCCAAGGAGTGGCTTGCCAAGCAGCGTGAAGTTGTCTGCTCCAACCAGCAGGACCTGAAAAATACACAAGCAGCATCTCATCAGCGGCTCGTCTTTAGAGTAACACTCGTGCCACCAAGAGCAGGAAGCCGTGTGAACACACCCCAGAACTCGGGACCCTCGGCTACCTGAATGTGGCGCACTGCAGTGTGGATTGGATCTGCTATGTGAGCAACTACTTACCACGAAAGAGGACGGGATTCCGGCCAACAGGAGATGGGGCTATTACCCTGGCGGTCCTCAGAGGAACGATAAGTGTATTTTGATTATTGGATGCTATACTTGTGCAGCTAGAACTACTCACCTCTTATTTAACTGGTACTTCAGTAAAAACAAAAAACCTTTTTTGTTATACTGGGAATTGAACCTGGGGCCTTGTGTGCTGGACAAGCGCTTTATCACTGAGCCACAACCTCTTTTATTTATATAACAAGCACAACGAAAATGAGTTTAAGTCCTACTACGGTGTCTCTGGGATAGTTCACGATAATGCTAATAGTGCAAAGATACAGGTTCAGCTATATCTCGTTTTTTCTCTTTGGGGTGGGGAGAGACGCCGTTGGGGATGAACCCTGAGCCTCCTGCATACTAGGAAGTACTCTACTTTTGCCATCCCTTTTAAGCAAGTTTAAAGACAGGGTTCTACTAAACTATACAGGCTGGCTTCAAACTTGAGGTTTTCCTGCCTCAGCTTCCCACACAGTTGGGGTTACAGACATGCAATACCATGCATGGACACTGTGTCCATTCACTCATTCATTTGTCAGACAGGGCCTCATTATGCAGCTCAGGCTGGCCTTGAACTCACTGTATAGCCCAGGCTGGCCTCAAACTTCCTCCTGCCTCAGCCTCTCTGGTGCTAGGATTATGTCATATGTCGCTACGCTTAGCTTGTATTTTTTTAATGACAGAATTCCTTGATTCCCAGGCAAACAGCCGCAGTGCGGGGGGAACTGCAACACTCATCTGCTTCCAGAGACTTTAGTAAGTCCCTGTCTCAAAATAAAATAAAAAGGGCTGGGGTATGCCCAGGTGAGAGCTTGTGCTCAGCAGATGTGAGTGCTGAGTGCTGAGCGCCACCCCAGAACTGCAGATCGGCAGCAACAACAAGCAAAATGTTGTGGCCACAGATGAAAACATCTTTGTACTGCGAGTGTCATACTGTTTTCATGTCAGAAAACTGCCTCACGTTTTATCGTGACATAAACATCCAGTCATACTAAACTTGAATGTCTAAAGACAAAAGAACAACAATGAATAATGCATCTTAGACAATGAGAATAACTTTGGGAGGGGCAGGGCTGGGCATAGAACCCAGGCCCAGGTCTGCATGCCCACTAGGCCAAAATACACACATATTAATATATGTATTATATATATCTATATTATACATATAATATAGATATAGATATCAGAATTAATTTAAGCATGAAATATGCTGTACATCAGGATTTCCTAAGTTAAGCAAAACAATCTACGTAAGGTATGGCTTTCTATAATTTTTAATTAACCTGAAATGTTTTAAAAGACAGTATCCTTGGGTTTGTATTTAAGATTGAACCCAATGAGAAGAAAGAGGAGTACTAACAGTGTTTGGACAGAATATCCTGTTTGCTTCTTGTCCTATGGATAATCACTAAGAAGATAACAATGTACAACGTATTATCAAAACTATCCTATTAATCAGCTGTGACACTATCTCATTCATATTTATTTCTCAATAAAAACAAAACAAAACAAAAAACAAAAAACAGGAACAAATCCAAACACTTCTCAAGCCAGCTAACCCTCTTAGTCCCCAGCTAAGGCAGGGCAGCAGGATGCTAGGCCGCTGCATACAAGAACTCTTCAGTGGCAGAGAGTCAGAGAAGGTTCAAGAAGCTTCTGTACTTAAACATGATTTGCAATGTTGTGTTATTTTTTGTATGTTTTCCAAGTTAAATAAACAGTATTACGGTTTAAAAAAAAAAAAAAAAAAAAAGATTGAACCAAGTGTGGAATAAAAATATTAGGAAAAAAACCCTTCAGCCCTACTGACCACACACAAGTCCTTTATTCTCAGGGTACAAAACTATACCCGGAATCACCAGAGCACAGGAGGATGTGTGCAGGCACTATGCAAGTACCACACCCAGCCCACGGAGGGAGCTGCGGACACCCTGGGGTCCTGGAACCTACTTCTTCTTAGGTACGTACTAAGAGGCCATAACATTGAAAAATCTTCCTGCCCTACTCTGTCCCCATGGTGGATATATTCAGTAAGTAGAGCAAACATATACAAATAGAAAATAAAAAGTAAAAAAGAGAAAAATGCACTACTGTATGTCCTACTCACTTGGTTGGGGTTTTGGTGCTGAGACCTGCGGCCTTGAGCATGCTAACAGTATACTCTTCCAGCTGGGCTGGTGGCGCATGTTTGTAATCCCAGCACTTGGGGGGTGCTGAGGCAGGATGAACTGCTGTAAGTCTGAGCCAGCCTGGGCTCCATAGTGAGTTCAGAGGCAGCCTGAACTAAACTGTTTCAAAAAACCAAAAACAAAACATATACTCTTCCACTGATCTACACCCCCAGCCAGAGTGCATTAATTTCTTCAGGGCTAAAATAAGGACTGGGCATCACTGTACAGGCCTGTAATCTCAGCACTCCAGAGGCTGAGGCAGGAGGACTAAGGCTTGTTTTTCTTTTTCTGTCTTTTTTTTTGTCTTTTTTATGCAGTTCAGGCTGGCCTTGAGCTCACTCTGTAGCCCAGGCTGGTCTCAAAACTTGCCACGATCCTCCTGCCTCAGCCTCCAGCGTGCTGGGATTATAGGTGTGTACCCCATGCACAGTGGGGGGATTTCAAGTTTGAGGCCAACCTGAGATACACAGTAAGGAGTAAGACAGTGAACGCTCAGCTCAGAGGTCTGGGTCTGATCTTCAGTGCCACACACCTACACATAAAAAGATAATGGACAGAAACATCTGTTGCTTCTTGTGAGGGTTTTTTTTTTTTTTTTTGAGATAGGGTTTCATTGATCAGTTCGGGCTGACTTTGAACTTACAGTGATCCTTTTGCCTCAGCCTCCCGAGTGCTGGGATTACAGGCAGAAGTCACCGTGCCCAGCTATACTGCTTTTTAAAAAAATGTATTTAGTACTGGGTCTCACCATGTACTTCCTCCTGTTTTCAGCCTCCCAAGTGCTGGGATTACAGATGTGCACCATCCTGCCTAGTCTCATTCCCAGTCTCAGCGTGCCCTGGGGGCTGGGCTGGCATAGCACACCATGGATCAAGCCTGGGATCGAACCCCAGTCCCTGCATCTGCCTACGCAGGCACTTTAATCAGCTGAGCTATCTGGCTGGCCCTTATATTGTTTTATAATTTAACATCTCTTGAAAAATCACAGAGGTTTATTATTATGATGTTATAAATAGAGAAGGCTAAAACAAACCTCCAAACACAGCATCAGAATTGTAACTGAAGGCCAGGGCTGGTCAGCTGACCTGCGAGAGCAGCGGTGTTGCGTGGCTGGCGAGCCACACGAGCACGTGGGAAAAGCCCCAGGCTGCCCCCAGTTTAACAAGAACAGCCCTTAAATCTGATGCCACAGCAGTGTTTTACCAGAAACTTACCACTTTACCCCATGAATGGGATCTGAACACCTCAGTCCTTCCTTATCCTGGATTGTCCTCTATTGCTGATGAAACATTCTGCTCTAGGAACCGATTACTGAGAGCTTGCAAGGCAAGGCCCCGGACATATTTCTATACTCAGCACGGCGCTGGTGGCCTTGAAGGAGCCAACCTGCGGGCCTCGTGCTGTCTGTCCAGGGGGCCCCTGCGCCTTGCCACCCTGCCTAGTCAAGCAGCCCGCACCACAGAGCTGGGAACACCTCCTTGGTGATGGAGTGGGGACTGCTTGCTTGATTCCCTAACCTGAGCAGACAGACATGTGACCGCCTTACCTTCTCCAGCCGGATCCTCTCTCCACACTTGATATCTAAGTCATTTTCAATCAGGATCAGGTCTTCGGGGGTCACTTTCCACTGGTGGCTGGCGAAGTGCACAACGGCAAAGAGCCGGCCGTACTGGCCTGTGGCGATCAGCTCGTTCACCTTCTTCACGACCTCTGTGAGGGAAGCAGGTGGCAGTCACCCCAGCTGACCTCTGTGAGGGAAGCAGGTGGCAGTCACCCCAGCTAGACAGGCACTGCCCCCTTACCCTGGGCTTCTAACTGCTCTCTGCTGCGTGACTCCAGGCCTCCAGATCATGCAGCAGTGCCCTGTGTGGGAGAGGCTATGCTCAGGGACAATGGCAGCTAGGCACGGGAGCTTGGTCAATGGCAGCCCTGTCAGCAGACCCGAACTGCCACTTGGGGCTTTCTGGCCTGACACTCCGCACGCCTGGCTTCATTCCTACAGCTCTGGGTGCGCAGGAGCTCCCATCCTGTCTAGTTGTGTCCGTGCACTCAGCATCGTATCCCGACAGGCTGGGTGGACTCTCTTGAACGTCTCCCAGACAGCGCCTTCTCTGCTTGTCGTCACTGCCTTATTCGGGTCACAGCTGCATCTACTCTGCACCCTCTGCTCTGAACAGGCACCTACTGTGCACCAAACCACAGCCTGGCCTGGGGCTGCACACACAGGAGGGACCTGACAGTTCCCGCCAGGAGATGAGTCAAAGCCAGAAACCTCACTGGGCAGTGAGGGCAGAGCTCTCAAAACCCAGCTGGTTGCCCATGGTCCTGGGTTCTGCACCCCAGGTCCAACCACTCTCAGGTTGAAGGCACTGTATTCAGGAAAAACTGCCTGCACTGAATATGTAACAGACTTTTCCTTGTCATTATCCTCTGAACAGTCCAGGACAACAGTATTATAGGCATTTCCACTGTATTAGCAATCTAGAGTTGATTTCAAGTATACGTGATAACAAGTATATGTTATTTGCATATACTTGCTTTTTAAAAACTCTTTTTTGCAGTATTGGGATTGAAGCCAGGAGCTCACAAATGCGAGGCAAATGCTCTACAACTGATCTATGGCCAACTCCCTTCTATTTTTTTTTTTAAGAAAAGGTCTCTTCTGGGAGTGGTGGTGCATGCCTGTAATTCCAGTGCTGGGAGGCTGAAAATGGGATCACTACGAGTCCGAGCTTCACAGTGAGACACTATACCAAATATATAAAAAAATTAAAAAAGGTCTCTTGATTCCCAGTATCCAAAAAAACCAAAAACAAAACAAGAAAAAAACCAAAAAAAAAAAAAAAAAAAAAAAAAACCAAAACCAAAAAAACAAACAAAAACTCTAAAACAAAACCCAAAGGGTTATACTATATTGCTTAGGCCAGGCTTGAATTTGTGATCCTCCTGCCCCAGCCTCCTGAGTGGCTGGGTTACAGGTGGCACATGGTTACATGGTACCATCATGCCCAGTGGGACTTTGCCATTTTATAGAACCTGAGCACCTGCTGATTCTAGTAACAGGAATTCCTGGACCCATCCCCCATGGGTATTGAGAGATGACTATAAATATTGAACAGTATCTAGAACAGCATTTTAAATATTGAAAATACTACTTCATATTGTGGAATTTCAGTCTTTTGGAAAAACAAGGCTCCAGATTTCCTACACAGCTGCAGTGGCTAACCAAACTGCCCCTTGTCCCAAGGCTTGTCCCAAGGCTTGTCCCAAGGCTTGTCCCCACACTGTAACATTTCTCCAGTGCCCAGGGCAGGACTGCTTCCTCCACCAGCAAGTTCCACCAGTGGGCAGAACTCTGTCTCGACTTAGCACCCATCAGTAGTAGGAGACAGAGATGCCTGAGTCCCACCTGCCCCGCCTCGTCACCGCCTCTGCATGGCTGAGGGCTCCTTGCTAAATGAATAAACATTTTAAATTTGGAGCTTTACTGAAGAAATGAACATGGGGGTTTTTACAGCACTGAGGAACACACAATCCTGCCATGTGGGCGTTACCACCAGGGTGGCTGGCTGCAGCAGGTGTCAGATGGCACCTTCCTCTTGCCACTCCCTGAAGAGCCTTTACCTGTGTGGTATCTGGTTTCCTCAGCTGGGTCTGGTAGAACGACTTCTGGCCAAGGTGGAGAACTCAGGGATGTTTTAGGAACATACCTGTAAAAACCATGTCATAAACACATCATATGCATGTGAAAGACTGCTCAAAGCCCCTAAGACATAGTTTGTACTAAGTATCAGAAGGGACAAAGATCTGGGTGCCCAAGTCAGGCCCTACACGTTCAGCACACACCTGCCAGGCACGCTGCCTCACAGCCAAGGTGAGTTGCCCTCTCGCACACACAAAACGGGCCTGGCTGCTGGGGCACTTGGTGTGAGTGTGTGTACGCTTGTGAGTGAGAAGGTGAGGGGCTCGGGCAAAGCCAGTGCTGGCTCTTTAGGACCTCGTCCTCCTTTGGTGTCATCGTAAGGACAGGTTCTCATGTGATGCCCTAGAACTGCAACGCATTCCAAAAAGAGTGGCCCAGTGGTCACTAGTAATAGGAGTTTTAAGCGCTATGTTGCACAGGGAACTGTGCCACCCTCCTCCTTGAGGCTTGGTTGCCTGTGGTACTGACACGCAGAGGTGCTTTGTCCACAACTGCAAAACGAATGGACCTTTCCTAACTGGCTAGGCCTCAGGGCCCCTAGGACACAAACTCTGGGCCGTCCTACCCAGCAGTGAGCATGAGACAGAGAGGAGCCGGAAGGCGCTGTCAACAACTCTGTCCCACGTGCTGTACGATCTCCTCGATGGGGAACAGCGAGGCCCAGATGGAGGCTGTGGTAAGAACCATGGAAAGAACATGGCAGAACACTGCCTGGCAGGAAGGCTGGGGCCTATCACCTAGGAAATGAGAAAAAGGAGGCTGGGAATGTCTATTTTGCAGATTTAGTTTTTCAACTTCCCATTTTTGAAGCAAAGAGCTTCTCATGTCCCCCAGTGCTTGGAATTCTGGTGTAGCCAGCAATTTTTGCTGGAGCTATATGCAACATGCTATATTGAGCTCATTTATTTATTGTTTCTGCAGTGCTGGGGATTGAACCTAGAACCTTGTACCTGCTGGACAGGTGTCCTTCCACCAAATCATACGCCCAGCCCTGTGGCCTTTAAATGCCTGCCTTGCTGAATTCTTAGCAGGCTGCGTGGAAATAAGCCTCCACACTGCCGGGCCTGGCAGGAGCTGAGCGAGGTGGCCCTGGCTATGGGGCACACCAGCACTGGATCTCAGGGCTTCCTGCTGACCTTTCTACCCTGTGCTGCTCCTGAGTCTTCTTACTGAAGAGTGTGATTTTGTTTTAATTTATCTCTGCATTTTATATTAAAACTTATTTTCTAAGTTTGACATTTTAACAACAAATATGCTTTCTTGAATTATATAAGCTTTCCATAGAGATGCTTGCAACTCAAGCTTCTTGGTCTGAAATCCTGAATTCAGACCTCAAGCTGTGATGAGAGCTGCTGTTGTAGTCTGGGAACACTTTTCTCTCTAGATTCCTGCAGTTCTGCCTATACTCAAGGCTCTGAGAAAAATACCATCAAAAAGTTGTAAGAAAATTTAGACATTCTTAAACCTCCAAGTGTAGAGCCAGGCACAATGGCGCATACTCAGGAGCCTTCAGCAGGAAGATCACAAGTCTGTGGGCAGCTTGGGCAACTTAGAGAGACCCTGACTCAAAAAAAAAAAAAAAGGCTGGAGAAATAGCTTGCTGGATGAGCACTCCTGGGCTTGACCCCCAATACTGTAAAGCAAATGAGAACGAACAAAATTCAAATGTAGGAAGTTCTGAATTAAGAAAGTTCTACAGATGAAAGGCAGAGTCACCAAACCCACATTTTGACATTACCCTGGTGAAAAGGAAGCGCCCTGCGAGCTGAACCTTCGAGTGGCAGGCCGGAGGGAGGCTGAGGGAACAGGAAAACATGGTCATTACTACCACAAAATGCAGCTTGTCCCTCATGATGGTGACACACAAAGTCTGTTAGCTTGCTTAAGAAAAACGCAGGCAAACAACAGGAGCTTCACTTAAGAGTCACTGGTGGTGCGTGTGAGGACTGTGTGCATGCCATCCACTACTGTCTACAGCCAGAGCCAACTCCAAGTACCCCTTCTATGACCACCAAGCATGCACTAGGTCCTGACCCTGTGAGTGGTGCCCAAGTGTGGGTGTAGCCTGCAAGACGGCTCAGGAAGCCTTGCCCCATGTCATCATGAATGAGCTGTCCCTTCTGTGAGCTGGTCTCTGACCAACAGCTTATGGCAGAAAGCTTCCAAGGCTAGGTTCTGAAAAATTGCAGCTTCCGTTTAGGCTGCAGGTCCCTCTAATCTGGCTGTAGGCACTGCCATACTATGGACAGCCCTATGCACAGGCCCATGTTGAGGAACTGGGCATGGGCAGCACCCATGAGGGAGCTTACAAGTTGGTTCTCAGGCCTTGCGGAGCCCTGAGGTGACTACAGGTCCAGCAGACCTGCCCAGCTACAATCTCCTGAGCCCAGAGCCAGAAGCATCCAGCTTGCTGGATCCTTAGAAATGGTAGCTGTCATTCTTTTGGAGGAGAGGGCACTGGGAATGAACTCAGGGCCTCACACTTGCCAGGCAGGCGTTTGTAGAACCACTGAGCTAAATCCCCAGCACTGTTGTCTTAATCTGCTAACTTCTGGGGCAATCGGTTATGCAGCAGTAGATAACTAACATACTAAACGAACATAAAAGTCTCCATTCTAGGAGAGGACTCAGAGAAAAGGCACAGTGCGCAGGTTTAAAAAAAAAAGCAGAAGGCAGATTTCTCAACTTTTTTCTTTTTAGCAAGTTCAGATGTAATTTTTCTTCTAGGAAACTTTTTTTTCCCTTAATTCACCATTTTAAAGCTCACTCATAACAGCTGGTCCCCATCTGTCTTGGTGGCTGGTCTCTTTCCCTCTCCGACGCCTGTGACTTAGCCCTTGGGCTTCACCTCTTCTCTATCTACCGTGACCGCTCTGTTTGCCTTATCCGATAGTTCCCTTAGGTGCTGGTGACTCCTGAGTTTGTCCTCCAGCCTGGACTCCATTGCTGGCCCTCCCAACCCTCTGTACCATTGCCACTTCTGCCTGATGGGTGTCACACACCAAACAAAGGCCTCCATCTCTTCCCATGCACGCTTTTCCTGTGCTCCTCCCCACTGCAAACGAGGCCAAATCAGATTACCAGCATCTCAGGCCCAAAACTTCCACCATTTTCGATCATTGTCTCTCACACCCCATGGCGACCTTGCAGCAGACCTGGGGGCTCTCCCTTCAGGGAGCGCGGGAGCTAACGATGTGCTGATTTAAGAGAGACCATCCCCCCGTCTCTTCCAGATTAGGACAAATGCGCTGTTCTTGATGCCCCCCACCCCTCCACTTCACACAGCAGCTAATGTTGCTGTTGGCACTTGGGCCAGACCGTGTCACTATGTTGAAACGACGCAGAAGCCCCTTCACTCAGTGATAACACCGCGACCCTTATAGCGGGCTACAAGGCGGGGCCGCACACAGGTGAGAGTTGCAAGGAAGCAGATCGGGTGCAGAAAAGCGCGTTTCAGCCGTGGAAGGCTAAGGTCTGGAGTGTTTCAACAGAGGCTTCATCTGACGCCTTAGAAAAATTTCATACATTGACCATTCACTGAGCACCCACTACTCAGTGTTGGGGTGAGCATATATACCAGGAGTAAATACAAAATAAAAATGCTGTTTTTAGTGACTCTAACATGTGACGGTTGGAACTACACACGCACGAGCGCACGCGCGCGGAGGGCAACGGGGAGAACCTTTCTCATCGCTTCCTCCCTTCACGAGCCGCTCTGGTCTCACCTGCGCCGGGCCACGACGGCGTCAAGATGTTGCGGCCGCACGCACCCGCCAGCCGCCCCAAGGTGCCCGACAGCGCCGAGGCCGCCGCCGCCGCCGCCATCTTCCCGCAGCCGGAAGCGGAAGCGACACGAGCCTTGTGCGCCGACGCACGGGGCCGACCTGGCGCGCGAGTGCGGCGGGGAGCGCGGGTCCGCCGGGCGCGCCGCTCCGCAGCTGCGATGGCTTCGGCCGCGGTGGTGGAGACCTTCGTGGCCAAGCAGCTGTGCCTGCTGGAACTCGAGAGGGACGCGGAGGTGGAGGAGCGCAGGTATGGGCCGCCGCGGGCGACCTCCTCGCGGGCTCGGGCTCTCCGAGGGGCGTTCGTCCTCGCGTGCCGCTGCGTCGTCACCCGCAAGGATGCAGCGCGCCGCCTCCGGGCAGCCGGTTCTGAGGAGCCGCCCACCGCCCCAGCCCCGAAGTTGCTCCGTGGAGCGGTCGGGAGGGCCTCCTGGCGCAGCCGGTGCCTGAGCACAGCCCGGACGAAGCCTGGAGTTCGGCCTTTGGGCAGGCTGGGGGACTGTTCCCGTAGGGGACGTGGGATCAGAGAGCCGGACGTGTTCCTGGAGTATATCCCATTTGCCCGGAGCTAGAAGAGCCGGCGCTTCTTTGCCTTAGCTGTGTTAATCCCTTTCAACCTCCTGCCCGCCCACCAAAATCCTTGTTACCCCTTACTTCCTGTCTAAAGGGAGAGTGGGACAAGCGGGAGCTAAGAAATGTGCCCGAGGTAACACAGGTGGAGTCAAGACTTGAATTCAGGCCGACTCAACGCTTGATTGATTGAGAGGCTTTTGAGGGAGAGTAAGAGGTTGTGCAGTCACAGGGACCTTAGTAGAAGCCTGGCTCCTATATTTGTGGCACTGTGACTCGCAGGTATCATCTCAGCCGATTCTCACCCCGCAGGTTTGCTCTGAAAATAAAATAATCGGAGTCAGGTGCTTAGCACAGTACCAAGGGGGCAGAGGAAGCTCCGTTTGAAACAAGGTGAAACGGTACAGGAGGTGACTAGATGTGCTATTGATTTATTGAGGTGGAGTCTCATGATGTAGCCCAGGCTGGCCTCAAACCCATGGCGAGTCTCCTGCCTCAGCCTCCTGAGTGCTGGGATTACAGGTGTGCGCCACCATACTTGGCTGGATTGGCATTTTAGGATCTTTTGACTGCTGTTGCTGGCAGTTGGTGGAGAAGCCCAGAGATAAGGCAGTTATGCTGTGTTTAGGCTGGGTGGACAGTAATGTGGCCTTGAATCGGGGCTAGGGTGTCCCGGATGAGAGGCAGAGAGGGAATCAGGGTCTCAGGGGCCTATAGGACTTACGACACAATCTTTTTTTCTTTTTCCCAATTCTCCTTCTTGTGTGGGTTGAGGTAGAAACAGGAAGGTAAAAAATCCTGAGGTATTAGTGCTGGGTGTCTTCCAGGGCCTGGCAGGAGAACATCTCTCTGAAGGAGCTGCAGAGCCGGGGCGTGTGTTTGCTGAAGCTGCAGATGTCCAGCCAGCGCACAGGACTGTTCGGACGGCTGCTGGTCACCTTCGAGCCCAGGAGATGTGGGTCTGTGGCCGTGCTTCCCAGTAACAGCTTCACTTCCGGTGTGTGCATTTTCAACAGTCACATGTGGGACGTTGCTGGTCTTTACGGGGTCGTATTCTCCTAAAGGCTGGATGCCGGGCCCATTGGGAGAGTAAATCAGGGCAGTGAAGACCCTTTCCTAACAAGTGCAATAATAGGGGGGGCCGTTTGGTGTTCAGATCAGAGCTGTCCAGATGGGGGCATGAGCTGCGTGGGGCTATAGGACACTTGGCACGCAGCTCCTGGTTGCTGCAGGTGTGAGCACACATGATCTTGAAGATTTAGTTAAAAACAGTTGCTAGTATTGCAGTCATAATTTGCAGTATTGGGAATTAAACTTAGGGGTCAGACGAGGTAGGCATGTGCTCTAGTGCTGAGCTACGTCCCCAGCCCTTCTAAAAGTTGTTTATATTTGAGATAAGGTCTTGCTAAAATTGTCCAAGCTGGCTGCGAATTTGCAGTCTTCTTACCTCATCCTCCTGTTTAGCAGTGATTTGAGGCATATGCCACCATCCTCAGCTCCAAAATAATTTTTGAGTACCGTTGAAGTTTTCATGTGTTGGGTTAAGTAAACTTATTGGGCTTTTTTTTTTATGTATTTAGTACAGGATCTACAGGTTCTCACTGCACAAATCGGACTCGTAGTGATCCTCCTGTTTTCAGTCTCCCAAGCGCTGGGATTATAGGCACGTGCCACCGTGCCATCTCAGTTGCCGTCTCAGCTGCTGTCTCAGCGTGCCCTAGGGGTGGGGCCGGCACAGCATGCTGGGGATCGAACCCTGGTTCCTGCATCTGCCTAAGCAGGCGCTTTAATAAACTGAGCTATGAGGCCAGCCCTAAGTAAAATTATTGTTAAAAGAATTTGCCCCATTCTTTTAACTTCTTGAATATGACTCCCAGAAAAATTAAAATTATAGTTGGCTCTCAGTATATCTTTATATAACTGACAGACTCAGCACACAGTGTAGTTCTGGATCCCAAATTTTTTTGTCGAGCATGCTTTGTCTAAATTCATGTCAGCCCTGTTGGAAAGAAGGGACTGTGTGTGTGTGTGTGTGTGTGTGTGTGTGTGTGTAGGTGGTGCTGGGAGTGGAACTCGGCTTTGAACATGTTGGGAGAGTTCTCTGCCACCGTGCTGCATCCTTGCTCTAAAAAAAGCTTCTTGCGCGGATGCTGCGTAGATGCGTCAGCCCTGGAAACCCAGAGGCAGCCTTGTTGCCCAAGTTGCCCTTTTCACGATGAGTCTCTGCCTTGTTGGTGGTGACAGTTTTTGATTTCCTATTTTGGTGTCAGATTCTTGCCAGCAGTGATTGGGATCCTGGCCGCACTTGGAGAAGAGGAGGTGAGGGGAGAGTGAAGTAATGAGGGGCCCTGCTGGCGGGAGTCTGATCTGAGCAGACCATAGGTGCCAGCCACTGTTAGTCTTGGTGGAGGAGGGGGAGGAGGCAGGAAGATCCCAGGTGCAGATGAACTTGTGGTGTGGATGGTGGATAAGAGGTGCATGGGGTGTGGACAGCTGTGCAGCCCTGGCTTTTATCTCAGCATGGCCCGTGAGCCACATGCAGGAAGGGAACTTGGTGGCAGTTGTATTGTGAAGCCCAGCTGCACGGCCCTGAGGAGAATGCCTTTTCATAGCCCTGCCGCCTTCTGGGTGGGTTTCCTTACACACAGCATGGGAGCAGTGTTGGTTCTGCCTCTCAGCTTTCTATAAGGCTGGGCGAGAGATGCCCAGGGGAAGTTCCCACTGCAGTTCAGGCTCTGGTATGGCTACACGTTCCTCCCTGACCCACCCTGTGGCCAGGGGCTTGGAAGTGTGGATTGGCCGAGGTGTGGTCAGGGGAAACCCTCCAGGCCCCCCTGGTAGAGGGTGACAGAGCTGCTGTGACAGGCAGAAGGGAGCATATGCCGTGTGGGCAGTGAGCAGTCTTTGTCCCTCTACAGATGTCCCATTGCTGCCTAGAGCTCCTGACCTTGCTTCCTTCAGTGTCCACCCTACTGTCCCTACTCCTAGGGAGCCCCTCTTACTAGAGCCTGGGAGAATAGTGTGCTGTCCTTTCCTGCCCCTTCCCATGTCATTGCTCCTGAGAGCCCTTGGCATTGAGCTCTGGCAGAAGGTGACATTTCTCTCCTTCCTAATCTCAGGGCCAGGTGGGCTTTATTCATGATCTTGAAGTAGCATGTTGATACTTCCTTGTTTTGAACCCTTAATTGACCTCAGGTGGATTTGCACGTGTGATTTAGTGGCGGTTACTTTGTTGTTAAGGCTATTGGTTTCAATTGCTATAGAAAGTAACAAGGTGGGCCTGGACACAGCTCACTGGTAGACCATTTGCTTAGCACCTGTGTGGCCCTGTGTTTGATCCTCAGCACTACAAAAAAATAAAAACAAAATCTGAAATTAGTTTTTTCAGTGTTTTATCTAACTGAGCTTTGGGTTTTGCAGGTGATATTGTGGGTCTGTATGACACCACTACTGAAGGCAAGCAGCTGGCCACCGGGATCCTGACCCGTATCACCCAGAAATCCGTTTCGGTGGCCTTTGATGAATCCCATGACTCCGAGTTGACCTTGGACCGGGAGAATTTCTACAGACTGTTAAAGCTTGCTAATGACGTCACTTACAAGCGCCTGAAGAGGTAAGTGTGTGAGTGGAGTCAGACGGCGGGATGTTTCCTTAACAGGACCGCCCTCGCTGCCTCTGGGTGAGACAGCGACGACCTTTCCGAGTGGTAGAGCCACCGTTGGCGGTGGCCCTGAACTGCTGGCCACCAGCTCCTCACTCTGGCTCTCTCCCCTCACAGAGCCCTGGTCGCTTTGAAGAAGTACCATTCGGGGCCCGCGTCCTCACTCATTGACGTCCTCCTCGGTGGATGTGCCCCCAGTCCTGCTCAGGAAATATGTGAGCACTTCTAGGTTTTAATTTTTTTTTTTAGTGGAAGTGATCAAGGACAATGTGACCTTGAGCCGTTTCAGCAAGAGTGTGAGAACATACAGTAAGAAGAACACTAGTGTCTTGGGTGCAGGTCTGAACGGCTGTGACTGATCTGTGTCAGTGTTGGAACTGAAGCCGCAGCTCATCCCCCTGAATTTTCAAATGGTGTTCTAATGTCTAAATTCTCGATTTTGAAATGGCTCTTTTCCAGCTCAGCGTTCTTTGCACTTAAGATTTTTTTTTTTTTTTTTTTTTTTTGTGGGGTGGGGGGTGGCCCGGGCATGGAATGTGGTATTGGGGATTGAACTGCAGTCCCCTGTGCTTGCCTAAGCTTGCCTAAGCAGGCACTTTAGACCCCTGAGCTATCTCGCTGGCCCCAATTTACTTCTGATTATGAGAGCAATAAGTGATAATCAGAGAAGAGTTGGAATAGAAGAAGCTTATGGACAGGGGACTTGAATCCCTCAGAGCCTCACCAGGGGGTTGGATGTGTAGCTTGGTGGTAGCGCTGGCCTAGCTTGTGTGAGGTGCTGGCTTCCGTTCCCAGCACTGCAAAAAAATAAAATGTGAAAACCTCTGCCATGTAGTTTGCCTTCCTGCTAGTGTTTGTGTGTATTTTTGTAATAATTTTTTTCTTAAAATGTTGAATGGTGTGTTTTTGTTGTTTGTGTGGGGCTTGTGTGTGTGTGTGTGTGTGTGTGTGCGTGCGCACAAGGAATTGAACTCAGGACCTTGTGTTTGCCAGGCAGGCACTGTGCCACTGAGCTACATCCCCGGCCTGATGTGTCTTTTATGCATACACAGACGTGCCCCAAGAACCTCCGCTGTAGCCAGTATGTGTTCGCATACACCTCGGTGTCCTTGAGGACTTCATTTGTAGGGGCAGTGCGTCAGCACACCAGGTGGTCATCCATAAGTTAGCAGCCCTGTAGCTGTTGGCCTTCTGTCAGTTTTTAATAGGGCTGGGGAGATAGCTCAGTATGATAAGTGCTTGCCTAGCAAGCACAGGGTCCTGAGTTCAATCCTTGGACGGGAAAAAAAAAAAGTTTTTAAGGCAGTGGCGCTTTGCTCAGGTGTAATGCAAGGGTTGCCCATATCTCTTTTGGGGGAGGTGCTGAGGGATGAATTCGAGGTGTGTTAGGCAGGTGCCTTACCATTGAGCACATGCCAGGCCTCGTTTTTATGATACCTGTGCTGTCATGCTCCAGTGTGATGTTAAACACAGCTGCTTTGTAGCGCTTTTCAGTTTGCAGTTCTTCACACCATTTTTTTTTTTTTTTTTTTATGGTACTGGGGATTGAACACAGGACCTTATGCTTGCCAACCAGGCACTTATGCCGCTGGGCTATACCCCTGGCCCATACCATATTGTTTTGTTAACACTCAGTTTTTGTCCGTTTTCCTGCAGAAATTGTGAAAGCACTTGCATTTCAGCAATATTTTTGTCAAATATTTGTTGCAGGGCCACTGTGAGCTGGAAACTGAATTAGAACTCTGTTTACTGTGTTTAAGGACAGTGGTGTGTGTTGAGTACGGCTGTCGTCCAGGGAAAAGCGTATGGTGTGGAGTCGCAGAACGTGGATGGGCACTTCAGAGTACCTGGTCGCTTGTCCCCCCAGTCCTGCTCTTGGGACTGTTTTGCCTGTTGGTTTTGGTCTCCCACGTGCAGATTAGTGCCTTTTGCTTCTGAGCTTGGTTTCTTCATCTGTGGGGTCTCTGTGTAGCAGGTGTGTGGTGATCCCTACTCCCAAGAGCACAGAGCAGGCTGGGGAGATAGCTCAGCGGCCTAAGTGTCTGCCTGGCAAGCACAAGGTCCTGAGTTCAATCCCTGATACTACCAAAAAAAAAGAAAAAACAAAATAAAACCCTCACAGCATGCCATTTGTCATTTGCATATTTCATGACCCAAATAGAAATGTCCTAGGATTGCTCTTTATCATTTTATGGGTACTTGAAAGGGATGAAATGGTTCAAAGAGACATTTCCTTCATCTAGAGGCTGAGTTGGCATACTTTCCATAAAGGGATGCGTTGTAAATATTTAGTCTTTGGGGACATAGAGTCTGCTTATAGGCTAGCAGCGAAAGACAGTGTGGAACCCATATGGGCTTGGCTGTGTTCTGGTAAAACCTAGGAAGGTCAGCAGCAGGCTGGATGGTGGTGCATCTTGTTGATTGCTGTTGTGGACGTCTTCTTTTGAAGACAGAGCGAGCAGGCTAGTTCTTTCTGGGGAGGCCCAGTGTGCCCATGTGTGCCCTGCTTATTCCTGTCCACGCCTGCCCGGGGGCGGGGGGAGGAAGCAGTTGACAGAATGTCAGGGTCTCATGTTGGTGCTTCTTCTACAGCTCCACTGGCATTCTACAACACCACCCTGGACCCTTCTCAGAAGGAAGCAGTTTCATTTGCCCTGTCTCAGAAAGAACTCGCCATCATCCATGGCCCTCCTGGCACCGGGAAAACCACAACCGTGGTGGAAGTCATTCTTCAAGCTGTGAAGCAAGGCTTAAAGGTGGGCTGTGGTCCTGCTTCACCAGCGCCACCAGCTTCTGTGTGTCCTATTGAGTGGGCACTCCGCAGGGCCCCACCAGCAGTTGTGGTGGGCTTGGTCAGGAACCCTCTGGGATGATTGTCAAGTTGGTGTGGAGCCAGACACTTTGATTTCCAGTAGTCCGATGAGACATGGGAACTCTATCGTAATCCCTGTGTGAGCAGAGGAGAGGGGAAAGGTATATGGAAGCCTTTGTTGTGGACCAAGGCCTGCCGGGCTTACTACCCTGGACCTGCGGGGCTCCTGCTGTGTGTTACGGCCCAGGCCGGGGGCGTGACCTTTGCCAGGACCTGATCTTTGCCCTCCGGGAGCCCTGTGTCTGGGTGAGGCAGATGCTGAGGTTGCAGCTCATCAGGTAGCCTGGTTAATTGATACAGTGCACATGTGTGGTGCAGATCGTGGCCCTGAAATGTGGATTTTCACATTGTGCATTTTTCAACTTTTTAAAAATTTATTTATTTATTGTATTTTTAGGGAAGGGTCTAGAGGATGTTCAGGGTCTCACTACTAGATTGGACTGTAGTGATCCACCTGTTTACACCCTCCCAAGAGCTGGGATTATAGGTGTGCGCCACCATGCCCAGTCTGCATTTTTCAACTTTTAATTTTTATTTTTATTAGTACATGTTTGCAAGACATGATGATTCATCATGGGAAGTCAGTTCATATATATACACATGTTAATTCCTTTTCCATCCCTTCCCCCCATCTTGGTCCTCTTTCCGTAACATTGTACATTATTGTCTGCTTATGTTCATAATGGTTGAGAAAAGATCCGTGTTCCTCAGTGTTGACATGAGTCATTGTAGATCTGAGGGTGTGGAAACTTTAAAAATCAGTCCTCCTAGTTTATGAGAATGTCATGGGTGAGTGGTGACACGCGGTTTTATCTTGGAGTGACAGTGCCCAGATTGTTGCAGATGTCAGTGTCTGCACTGGACCCTGCTGGGTGCTGTGCTGGTGTCCACTCATTACCCACTGCGCATGTGAGAGTGCGGGCCTTCTCAGTTCAAGCACAGGAAACCGAGAAACAGGCCCAGTGCCAGCAGTGAGTGGCAGAGGCAGGGGCTGATTGTGCAGAGCGCGCAGAAACTGTCACTCAGTTAAAGAGCTTTGTCCAGGGTTGCCCACTAGGGAGTGTCTGTTTTGACTGCTTGAAAACTTGGGAGAAAGGATGCTTTGTGGGCAGCAGCAGACTTGCTGCTCCAGTCAGGTGCCTCCTGTTTCAGCACACAGAGTGAAATGGGACACACTTGTTTACGAAGCTGCGTGTCCAGGTGTGTCCGACTGTGTCGGTGGCGTGGTGGCAGTGTGCAGGAAAAGTTTAGGTGCACAGGGACTTTCCACTCCGTTGTTGCGTCCTCCTCTCAGCAGCGTGACTGCAGTTCTAGGAGTGAGTTGGAGCCTAGCTGAGAGATGTGTGTTGGTTTTTAATCAGATGATTATAGGATTTGTGGTGGTATGATGGGATTTCCAGCTCTGATTACTGAGGCTCTTGAGTCTCGTGGATCTGCTGTGCAGTGGCAAGTCACCTGCCACTTTCCTTGGTCGCTAAGCAGGTTTTGAAGATGGAAGTTCTGGCTATGCAGATGCGGTGTTGTTTTGCAGCGACTGTCTCTGGGCTGCCCTCACCTTGCCAGCGCTGTCTTTTTACACTGCAGCGCTGTGAGTTGTGATGCTCTGCCCTTTCTCTTTACCTTTAAAGCGCTGTGTTTGGCCTAGTGCAAGCTTGGGTGGTGTAATTAGAAAAGAAATTACTAAGCCCTAACGTGAGCTTGTTTCCCAGGTTCTGTGCTGCGCTCCCTCTAACATCGCCGTGGACAATCTGGTGGAGCGGCTGGCTTGGTGCAAGCGGCGGATTCTGCGCCTCGGCCACCCTGCCCGCCTCCTGGAGACTATTCAGCAGCATTCCCTGGATGCGGTTTTAGCTCGGAGTGACAATGCCCAGATTGTTGCCGACATCAGAAAGGACATCGACCAGGTCTTTGTAGGTATCACAGTGTCATTGTCCAAGGCTTATGTTTTTTCATCTGTGCTCATTAAAGAATGAGTGGTGTCTGTGTTCCTCTTGCTTTTCGTTTGCTTCCATTGATTTAATTAGAAATCAGTGAGCTGTCATGGGGGGGCTCAGTTTTGCTAGAGAACTGTGCTCAGCATTTCGTAGAGACTCAGCTGCTAATTTAAAGTACTTGAGAGCTAGTGAGGATTAATATTAGCAGGAGGGGAAAAGCAGCCTGAAAGGAGAGTTTCAAAAGATAAGCCCCATCCCAGATCCTTTGGGTCCGCTTCATGCTGTCTTTGTGGAAGGAGATGCCGGTAGGCTGCGGAGCCAGGTGGAAGCAGTTGGTTCGGGGTGCGGCGCTCAGTGCTTGTGGGCCCTTGGCTCCTGTAGATTGCAGGTTGGCCTTTATTTCTTTACAGCAGGGAGTGTCCTCGCCACAGAGTGGTGACAGCAGGGTGGGCACTGGGAGCCTCTCCTTTCCTTGGCCTGGGGCAAGAAAGTTGCCTGATGTGGACAGCAGTGTGCCGGCATTGGGTGGGAGATGGCACCAAGGATATGTAGTGGTGCTGTGGGATCCATGGCGAGCATGGGTGATTTCTTCGTTTTCTTGTTGAAATCAGGGCTCTTCAGAGTTTTCTTGTAAATTATACACAATAACTTCCCCTCATTCCTGCCAAGACCCTGTACTCCCACGCAGAGATCAGAAATAAAGAAAAGACTACGTGTCTTCTTGGGGTATAAAATTATTGGAGATTAGGTAAATCTTTTAGGGATTGAAACATTCATTTCTAGAAACCGATGGAAAGATGTGTGGAGCTGAGCTTGTCCGCAGCTTGTGAGCTCTCCCAACTCAGATCCCGGAACGGGCGGGCACTGGTCCTCCCCAGGGGGTGGGGGGTCCCATTTGGGCCTCGTTTGGCTTCAGTTCAACACTGCCTCTGCCCAAGACTGGACATTCTCTGTTGGGCTGTCCCTGTGCAGGTGACATGACAGGCAGGTTGGGATGTGAGATACTTAGTCGTGTACCTCTGTGGCTCCTTCCAGAAAGATTTTTTAATTAGTGCTTTTTCAGGAGCTTATTGAAGTGGATCAACTGATGTTAAGAAAAGTACTCTATGCATGTAAAAAAAATTACAGTGCTGTGTTAAAATAGTTGTAATTTTCTTTGCTCTTTTCCCAGGTGAAAAACAAAAAGACCCAGCATAAGAAGGATAAGAGTAACTTTCGCAGTGAGATTAAGCTGTTGAGAAAAGAGCTGAAGGAGAGGGAAGAAGCAGCTATGGTGGAAAGCCTCACCTCAGCCGACGTGGTCCTTGCGACAAACACGGGTGAGAGGTGACTACCCGCCAGTGTGGCCATGAGCAGGGTGTGTGTGTGTCCGTGCGTGCACCTGTGTCGGGGCTTTTCCCGCTTGCTGGCGCAGTAGGTGGCATTGCATTGCTTCTTCTCAGTACTGGGTAGAATCTCAGAGAAGCCTTCCGGACCGCATTGTAGGGAAGTTCGTAAGCACAGATTCAGTTTCTTCAGCAAACAGCTCTGCAGGTCATCTCTTCTTGGGTAAGCTTGTATAGTTTAAGGAATTTGTCCTTCTACATTGTTGGATCTGGAAGCGTAGTTATTCATTATGCTCCTTAGTTACTGTTTTAGCGTCTGTGGACTCTGTGTGGACATATTTAACTCTTATTCCTAATGCTGATGATTTGTTTCTTTTTTCTCCTTATCTTCTAGCTAGAGGTTTTATTGCAATCAAAGAAGCTGATCTTTTGCTTTTTTTTCTTTTTCTAATTTTGGCAGTGATTTTAATGTTTTCTGTGTGCTTATTTGGGTCTAATTTTGTTTTTCTTAAGGTAGACACAGAGGTTGTTGACTAGCGCCATTCTCCTTTTCTGGAGTGGGCATGTAGCTCTGTAAACGTCCCCCTAAGTACTGCTTCTGTGGTTTTCCCTAAATTCTGATTTTGTGTTTTGTTTTCATCCATTTCAAAATGCTAATTTCCTTTTAGGCTTCTTTTTCTTTTCATTCCTGAAATCGTGGTTTCTTCTTTTTTTTTTTTTTTTCTTTTCTTCACGGAACCGGGGATTGGACTCAGGCCCTTGCACTTGCCAGGCAAGCGCTTATTCTACTGAGCCATCTCCCCGGCCCTTGGTTTCTTTCTAAACCCAGTATTTGTTTTTGTTTTCCGAGACAGGGTCTCCCTGTGTAGTTCAGGCTGGCCTTGTACACTCTGTGTAGCTCATGCTGGACTCAACCTCATGGTGCTCCTCCTGCCTCAGCCTCCAAAGTGCTGCGATTATAGGTGTGCATCATTGATTTTTAGAAGTGTGTTGTGTAGTTTCCAAATAGTCCGGGATTTTCCAGATGTCATTCTGATCTCTCTAGTTTCATGGGGATTGTAATTCCATGTACACCCACACTCTCTATGACTTTAATCATTTTCTTGAAACTTAGGGTCTGGCAAATGGACATTCTTTGTGAATGGTACATTCCTGCTTGAAAAGAATGTGTATCTTGGTGTTGTTGGTGAGTTTTTTGTCATGCTAGTCAAATCGTGAGGGTGATGGTGATGTTTAGGTTTTCTGTAGCTTTGCTGATTTTCTCCCGTTCCATCCCATGTCAGGAGACAGTTGCTGAAACCTTCTGATTATAAAGTATACTTTTGCCTAGTTCTATCAGTTTTTACTTCAAATTGTTAGACATTTTTGTATGAGTGTCCTAACCAAATTATCTTTATGAAACGACCTTTATCCCTGGTAATATTTTTAGAGATTTACTTTGATATTAAAATAATACCCCAGTTTTCTTAAAAACTTCAAAATTTTTATTAGTACATGCCCACAGTACATAATGATCACATTCATCATGGGGAAGGTTTTTGTTTTTTGTTTTAAACTCTGGTCAAAAACATACAAAATAGCCAGGTGTGGTGGCACAGGCCTGTAACCCCAGCACTTAGGAGGTTGGGGCAAGAGGATCGCTGCAAGTTTTAGGCCAGTCTGGGTTACAAAGTGAGACCCTGTTTCAAACAAAAAGAAAAAGAAAAAAAAGTCCACATAAAATAAAATATACTACTTTAAGTCTGTTTAAGGTACAGTCCAAGATTCTAGCTACACATATTTTTTGTATCAGATCTCAAGAGCAGATTCTAGAACGTACGTTGTTGTGTGGTACTGGGAATGGAGCCTGTGTTACTTTTCTTCTTGCTGGAACAAAATACCTGACAGCCAAAGTTAGGGGAGGAAAGATTTATTTAGCTCACAGTTTGTGGAGGTTTCAGTCCACAGTCAGCTGGCTCTGAGGCAGGGTGGCTTGGCAGAAAGGCACTGAAGAGAGGGACCGTTCATGGCAGGCAGAAGACACCAAAGACAAGGCAGTGACCCACAGGCGACAACTGTGGCTTCTTTCTCCCTGTTCTGTATTTATCCGGGTCACCCAGCCTAGGCAGGTACTCACCGGTCAGTGGGGTAATTTCGCAGTCATACTCCCTTAATCCTGGCACTGCACGATGAACCAGTCCAGCATCACACGCCCCAGACGCAGACACCTCGGAAAGCTCCGCCTGTGTCTGCGTGAGGCTTTGGGTGGACGTTGAGATGCAGCCATCGCAGAACCAGGGCTTGGTCCCTGCTACGCAAGTGCTCTGCCTCTTTTATTTCATTTTATTCTACTTTTACTTTTTTTTTTTTTTTTTTTTTCACTTTTACTTTTTGAGCAGTGTCCTCAGTTGCCCAGGCTGGTCTCAAACTTGGGATTCTCTTGTGTCAGCCTCCTGAACAGTATACATCTGTGTTCGAAGCTTTCTTCATGCTTTTTGTGTGGATTTGCAGTTCTCATCAGTTTCAGAAAATAATTGACCATTATTTCTTCTAATACGCTTTTCTCTCCTCTATCCTTTCCTTGGGGGCTTCCAGTTTGTCTGCTTTAAGGTTTTCTACAGCTCACCCATATTTTCCCTTTTTTTTTTTTTGATTCTTTGTGTCTTATTTGGAATAGCATTTTTACCTTTTCTTTCTTTCTTTTTTTTTTTTTCTGAATGTTGGGATGTGTCACCATGCCCAGCCCTTGAATAGTTTCTTTCACTAGTTTTTCTTTTTTTAATCATGGTAAAACTACTTACCATGAGACCCATTCTCTTTAAAAAGTTTGAAGCCTGCAACATAATATAGTTAACTAAGTATAGTGTTGTACAATAGATTTATTTCTTTTTTAAATGTATTTGGTACATGGTTTCACTAAGCAGCTCACTCTCAGGTGTTCCTCTAGTTTTCAGCCTACCCAGCACTGGGAGAACAGATGTGCACCACTATGCCCAGTCCTAGTGGCCAGCTGCCCAGGGGCAGGGCCAGCATGGCATGTGGTGCTGTGGATCAGACGCTGGTCCCTGTGCTTGCCTAAGCAGAGGTGCTTCATCCACTGAGATATCTCGGTGGCCCTGCAGTAGATTTCTGAAACTTTTTTTTTATTATTGAGGAATTGAGCCCAGGGCCTTGTATGTGCTAAGCATGTGCTGGTCCTACGAGCTACAATACCTCTTATATAACTGAAACTGTGTACTTGTTGATTGGTATATTTTTAAATTCACTAGTTTTTTATTTTATTTTTTATTTTTTGGTCAGGTTGATCTATCAATATAATTTTCATCTGAAACTCAGAAGTTCAGAATTGGGTCTCTTATATCATTTGTGTTTTCCGTTCTTTGGAGACAGGATGCAGTTCGGAATATCTGTGACATGGCTTCCCTCAGTGCTCTGGCCCTGGTCTCCGGGGTCTCTGCATTGCTGAGTCTCAATGGTGCATTCTCCCCGGCTGTGAGTCTTCTACGGCTTCATGCACCTCTGATGCTCATCTGGATGCCAGGCATGGAGAATTTTATCTTTTTGCCTGGTGGATATTTTTATATTCTTAGAAATATTCTTCAGCTTTATTTCTCAAGGCAGTAACTTCCTTGTAAGCAGTATGATCTTTCTGGTTCTTGCTTTTAAGACTGGTTAAGATCTGGAGGAGGATGCCATTTCTCACTGCTGACACAAACTCCTCACTAATTCTCTGTCCAGTTCCCACCAGTCCTAAGATTACCCTGACTAATGGAATTAGGCACTGTCCCTTGCCTCGTGGGAGCACTAGGCACTGTCTTATTGTTTTGAATGGCATTTTTCCTGGGCCGTGGGTGGTTTTCTCTTAAGCACCTACTGATCATTATTCAGCTGAATTCCCTAGCCGTCTCTGTTCAGCAATCTCTTTGCTATTTTGTTCTGGGAACCTTGGCTGCATTGGCGTTCCTAGAATCTTTTTTTTTTTTTTTTTTTTTTTTTGCATCTTTTGTGGTTATCCCTGGAATCTGTGTCCCATCTCTTCAACTCCAGGATTTGTTCAGGCTCTGAGGGCCTGGCTTCTCTGCACTTTGCTACCTCTTGGCAATTGAAGACAGGAAGCTGAGGCCACCTCAGGGTGTGCCTCCTTTGTCCAGTGTCTTAAAACGGCGTATGTTACATTTTCTTCACAGAGTGGGTTTGGGGAGATAGGTGCAGCCCTGCTACTGCATGTTGGGCAGAGTGCAGGACTCTCACTGTCTCCAGCACTAGCTGTCGCAGAGCTGCGTGCCTTGGGATTGTCTGGAGGATGCCGTCAGCCTGCGGTTCCAGGGTTCACCAGGTCTGTGGTGTTCATGAGGTCTCTTCTGTGCTCTGTAACAGTATCACTGGATTTGTTACTTTTCTCTTGTTGCTGGGACAAAATACCGAACATTTAGCATTAAGGAAGGAAAGGAGCTTTCTGTCCTACCCCAGCTGGCTCCAAGCTAGAGTGCCACCTGGCATATGGTAGTAGTTCACTGAGGTAGGTAGAGTGCCGTGTGGTAGAGCGTAGTAGTTCATGGTGGCAGAAAACAGCAAAAAGCAAAGGCAAAAGGGCAGAGAGCGGCAGCAGTGGCAGAGGCAAGCCTCTCTCCTCCTTATATTGCCTTCTGGCTATCTGCCCCAGGCTGAGTGGAGCACTCACACCCATAATCCCAGCAGTACGCAGACCCATAATCCCAATCTTGGATCATGAATTAATCACAAACTCTAAAACCGCACCCCAGTGACTACATGAGGTTTTTGGGGGACAACTATACACAAACCGTCACAGTCACCAGCAGCCACCCACTTTCTGTGAGTCAGTTGTCCAGGTGTGCTCTAGTGAGATCCTCTGCTCAGGGTCTCACGGGCCACAGTCCCAGTGTCCACTGGGGCTCTGGTGCAATCTAAGACTTGTCAGGATTGTACCAGACTTGTGTGGCTGTTGTTTACACCCTGTTTCTTGTGTGCTGTTGGGCTGAGTTTCTTACTGATTGTTGGTAGAGGCCACCCTTAGCTACTTGCCCTGTAAGCCTTCCCAGCATGGCCACTTCATCAGAGCTGGCAAGAGACTGAGTCTTGTAGATGGATTATAATCTTATGTAATGTTACTTAGGATGTGACATTCTATCTCATTGTCATCGTCCTCCTCCTCCTCCTCCTCCTCCTCCTCATCCTCAGTGGTGCTGCAGATTGTACCCAGGCCTTTGTGCATCCCTGGCAAATGCTTTCTGCTGAGCTGTCCCCTCCCTTGGTGAGAGGCCTATGAAAGGTGGGAATGTCAGGGAACCGGGCCTCCAAGGCCTGCTTCTGAATCTGTTCCAGCTTCTTGGGTGGTGGGCTACTCCAGGAAGCAGAGTCCAGGTTGTGTAGGCTTTATAGTTACAGTTTTATCTGGTTATCTGGTTTGTTTTTTGTTTGAGACAGGGTCTTACTATATAGCACAGGCTGGCCTTGAATTCATTGCAGTCCTCCGGCTTCAGCCTCCTAAGTGCTGGGGTTGCAGGTGTGCCCTAGCTACTACAGCCAGCTGTCTAGCTGTCTGTAAGGTTGGGTGGGAGAAAGCAGGAGGTGAATGCAAACTCGGCTTTCCTGCCTCCGAGTTACTTCTGTAGTTCCCGTCATTGGCTCTCTCTTTCTTCCATGCGGATCTGAGTTGCTGTCTGGGTCCTTTTGTTTCAGTCTGAAGGACTGTAGTTCTTGAAGGGCAAGTCAAGTTTTTTTTAGCTGGAGAGATCTTAATTTCTCATTCATTTTCAAAGGACAGTTTTGCTGGTTTGAAGAATCTTGGTTGTTAGTCATCTTTCAGCACTTAGGCTGTTGTTCCTGCCTGCACACCCCTGTGGTTTGTTCCTTTTCACCTGTGTGTGATGTTGAGGGTGAATCTAGGGCTTCACGCCTGCTAGGCAAGTGCTCTCCCGAGATGGGTCATGTAAGTTGCCCATGCCGGCCTCAAACTTGAGACCTTGTGCCTCAGTGCACCCCAGCATGCTCAGATGACATCTGTGCTCTGGGGCCAACACAGAAGTCTTTCCTCAGCTCAGTGCCCACTTGTGACCAGAGGTTCCCTTGAAGTCCTGCGGGCAGCCACCTGGCCCTGCTGAGCAGCTGAGTGTGCACACCAGCACGCTCCTAGCACGTAGCCAGGCCATCCGTCTGTAACTCTTGGCCTGGGCTTCGCATTTGCACAGAACCTTGCAGTGGGCCTGTGGGGAGAGCTGAGCGTCCTCGCAGGTCCTGCCCAGGCTCACACACAGCCCTCACATGTGCAATCATCTTCCAGAGCCTCTCAGAACCCCAAGGACATCTTGCTCTCCAGCTTGCCTTCTGATTTTGGTTTTCCTGTCCTTTGCTCTGGCTGTTGTCCGTTGCCTCAGCCATGATACTGCCTCTGCTTGATTTCAGCACACGCCCCATAGAGAAGGCTAGGTGAGCTCTGAGCCAGTCAGGCCTGGAGTTTCTGTGAGCAAGGTCCACCCGGGCAGCGTCGCATGGTTAGAGGATCAGTCTTTGGGAGCGGGAATCTGCATGGGCACCAGTGGTTCTGGTTTCTCATGGCTGCCAGGCTGCTGGCTGCAAATGACGACATGGGGTGGGGTGGCAGCAGGGGTGACAGGGTGAGTTGAATGCTACAGTGCTCATTTGGGACTTGGCCTTTTTTTCTAATAAATTCTCAGAGTGCTGTGAGCGTCCAGAGTTGTGAACACGTCGGCTCTGACTGGTCTGCCAGAATTTTTGCTGTGTGAGTGGAGGAGAGTTTGCTAAGGTTGTTGCTGCCATTTCCACTGACACTTCTCACTATAATTTTTTTATTCTTTTGTAGTACTGGGGGCACAGGGTCTTTGCACTGAGCTAACTCCCCATTCCCCCCTCCCCTTGTGAGACAGGATCTCACTAAGGCTCTAAATGATTCTTAAGTTGCTAAGTGACCCTTGAACTTGAAATCTTCCTGCCTCAGCCTTCCAGAGTACTGGGAACCCAGGTGTGCATCACCACACCTGGGTCTTCCCTTTAAGTGCAACGTTTGTAGGGGTTGGAAAGGGACCTCTCCCCTCCACACCCAGGGCCCACTGGCAGCCCCTCCTGCTTGGTTGTGGAACTGAGGTGATTTCTTCGAAGTGTTTCCACCAGGAAGTCTGACTTTGGGTGGGGGCATCACTCAGTGGTAGAATGCTGCCCTAGCATGTCAGGTGCTGAGTTTCATCCCCAGCTATGTTAAAAAACAAGACAAAGAGAAGAACGAATTTTGCTTTCTCTTTGTCCTGTGAAGTCTCATCTATAATCAAAATGCATCTCTTTATGATCTGAAGCCTGTGTCCTCTGTGGCCCTTTCCCTAATCATCTCTGACAAGTCTGTCTTCATAAAATATACATGCCTCAGGTAGGGGTGGAAGGGACAGTATTTCTATTTTCGTGGTGCTTGGGGTGGGGCCCGGGTCCTCACAGGCCAGAGAAGCGCTCTGCCACAGGACCCACCCCCAGCCCATACCTGCTGTCTTGAGCGCGGTACTTTGTGATCATTCAGTTTCCAGAACAGTTGCCTGTGATGCTGGTGTGGCCCACAGGAGTCTTCAGCGAGAGGAGCGTAGGGAGGGCCTTGCTTCGCATGCACTGCAGTTTGCCCAGCCGACTGGGCCCAGGCGCTCTCACGGCCTGCGCTCCCCTCACTGCACTGCTTTGTGTTAGGAGGAACACCTGGTGCAGTGGTTTGTGTTGTCAGGAATATGGAGGTTTTTCTCAGCAATATTGTTGTCTATGTCTAAGAGATGAAGCCTTGTAGGAAAATTAAATTTTACATCCAAAAATAACATAGATCTGACGTATAGAAACAGGACAGCATCCCATAGACTTGGCATAGCTCCAAAGGGGCAGTTCATTTTGGCGACCGAAGGTTGAATGGCCAGTGCTCAGAGACACAGTGAGCTGGGACAATCTCTGTAATGCCCTTTCCAAGTCTATTCCAGATGCAGATTTATGCTGCAGTTGTGATGTAAGACTAGCTGCGGCAGCTGGCGTGGTGTCTCTCAGTGTGATTGTAAGTGTAGCTGAAGAGGGTCAGCTGGTGCCTCTGTGGACTGAGGGTTTCCTGTCCCCCAGGTGCTTCTCCTGACGGCCCTCTGAAGTTGCTACCTGAGAGCTACTTCGATGTGGTAGTCATTGACGAGTGTGGCCAGGCCCTGGAGGCCAGCTGCTGGATCCCCCTGCTGAAGGCCAGGAAGTGCATCCTGGCTGGAGACCACAAGCAACTGCCACCCACCACAGTCTCGCACAAGTAAGACCTCAGAGCCTTTCTTTGCCCCTGGCCCATCAGTCCTCCCGGCCATCCTTCTGCATCCAGCCCGGACATCCCCGTTAGTCCTCCTGTGCCCTCCCCGCACCTTTCTCAGTGATAGCTCCTGCTGAGTGCTGTTGCATCTGCTCATTTAAATGTCTACCTTGATAGACCATGTGCTCCTGGTGACTGGGTCATGTCACCCTCATCTTTGTGCCAGGCTTTGTGCCTCCCCTGGTGAGACAGATAGACAGGCTTGGTGGTATAGGCCTGAGAGCTGTTCTGTGGCTGGTCTAGTGAGCTCAGTTCTAGTCACAATGGGTGCACTGTGGTGTCCTGTTTTTTCATAGTGGCCCAAAACCTTTCTGAGGTGACACACTCTTCCAAATTGGAGGAAGTGTTGTTGCCCATGGCCCCTGTTCCCATTCTTCCCTTCATTGTCCCAACATGGCTTCTTAAGCCCTCTGCCTAGGCCACTGTCTCCAGCCCCATGTTGGGCAGCCCCACCCTCCCTGTCCCAGTCACTTTCCTGAATGCTGGGATAATACCCAACTTTATCTTGGCTCACATCTTATGCCGTAGTTGACTGGCTCCAAGGAGGGACAGCTTGGCACAGCAGTGTGGGGGAGAAAGAGCTGCTTACCTCGTGGTGGAGAATCAAGAGAGGAGCTGGGATGGGAGATAGAACCTTCTAGGTGATGCCCACATGATCCACTCACCTCCCAAAGGGCCTGCCTGTGGTTGAATGAGGCTTTAGGAGAACATGGAGACATAAACCGTAACATTCCCTTTGGAAGAAAGCTCCACAGGGCCCCAGCCTGGCTGTGTGAACGGAAGCCTCCAGTCCCTTGTGTGGTTCACTTAGTTCTGTTAGTAGAAGCTCCTATCTTTGTGCTATTTGTTCATTTACTTTTCTTCCATCCAGAGAAGAAGCTGCAGAAGCCTGTGGGCAGGCCTGATACAGGGGGTGGTGTTTTGGTTGTTTTTTTTTTGGTAGAACCAGGATTGAACTCAGAACCTTGAACTTGCCAGGGAAGTGCTTATTCCACTGAGCCATCTCTCCGGCCCCAGGGGGAGGATCTTGCTGCTCCAGGTCCAGCAAGGCAGCTGCAAGGCATGGGACTCCCCTGGGCTCTGTGTCCCCATCCTCCCTTCCCTCTGGGGCTGGTGACTTCTTCCTGGCATCTATAGGCTCTTTGACCCTGTCTGTACTCAGTGTCTGTGCAAAGTCAGGATCCTACCTGACTGGAACTCGGGTTGTTTACTCAGAACCAGGAGGAGCTGAGCAGGGGGACTCTCCTGGGGGAGCAAGTGGCCCAGGTGCCCAAAGGGGATTTAGAAGCTCCTTGAGTGAGGATTTTGGAAGTCATGTCTCGGTGCGCTGGAGGGGGAGACTGGGGATGTTTTCTGTCGGATCAAAGGGAAGCCACAGAGGTCTGTCTCCTTGCTTCTTGAGGATCCTCAGAAAGGCTCTGTGCTCCAGGGAGCCTTGGGGGACAGAGAATCTAGAGCTGTGCCCCCTGGGGAGCAGGACCCTGAGAGCCTGGAGATGAGAAAACCAGAGCTTGTGGATGGTGCCTCTAGGTTTGCAGGAGGGGCTGACAATCGCCTCATGTCTTCACTTGATTTGGCATTGGTTGTTCCTGGTAGCAGTGATTACTAGGAATCACTTATTCACGGTGGTCCTTTAGAATTCCAGAGTGTGGGGCTCTAGTCCTTTCAGAGACTGGCACTTTCCCACAGCTCTAGTGATCAGCACTCAGCATGAGGTGCTGTGCCATGAGTCCTTGAGCCAGGTGGCCCAGATGGGTCCTGGCTGGGCAGCCTTGGGCCGCTGCCTTGACCTCTCTGGGTCTCACGCTCCTTCTGCATAACAAGGGACTCATTTCAGCCGCTGCTTCGTGTGGTGTTGAGGGTGGCGCAAGGGGCCAGGAAGTGCTCAGTTAGTGGCCACTAGTGCAATGAGTTCTAAAGAACAGGCCTGCACTAGTTTTCTGTCACCACTGTGACAAATTAACACAGATGTTGTAACAGATCAGTCTGTGATCTTACAGTTCTAGAGGTCAGGTGTCAAAATCCGTCTCCCTGGCTGAAAATCAAGGTGTTGGCAGGGCCGGTTGGCCAGACGCTGGAGGCAGAGATCTGTTTCCAGCTGCTGGCGCCCACTGCCTTTGCTGGCACCAGGACTCTTCTTCCTCCTCCAAACCAGTGTGCAGCATCTTCAACTCCACCTTGTCCCACAGCCTTCTCTGACTCTGGCTCTTCTGCTGCCTCATAAGGCCCGTGTAATTATCTCCTAAGTGATGTAGGATCCTCTCCTCCCCTGCAGAGTCCCTGTTGTCACATAAGGGAACATAGTCCCAGGTCCTGGAGTAGGACATCTTGGGGACCGTGGCTTAGCTGACCCCACTCCCCTTTTAGATGGGATGCCTTAGGCCTGGGCTGTGAGGCAGCCTTCTCTGCTCACCCCACTTCTCTGTGGGCCCTGGGACTCAGGCTGTTCCTCCCACTCCTCCCTTGGTGCAGGGCGGCGCAGGAGGGGCTATCGCTCAGCCTGATGGAACGCCTGGCTGAGGAGCATGGCGACAGGGTGGTGCGGACACTGACCACGCAGTACCGCATGCACCAGGCCATCATGCGCTGGGCCTCGGAGGCCATGTACCACAGTCAGCTCACGGCCCACCCGTTGGTGGCCGGCCACCTCCTGAGGTGAGTGACCCGCCCTACCCCTGCCTCAGTCTCCCCACTCATGAAGGTTTTAGAGCACAAGTCCACTCGGACTGATTTTCTGGAGGAAGTCAGCCTTGTCCAGTGTGAAATGCCCAGTGCCTGCCATGGGCCATGGGGACCTCTCTGTTTTCCCCGCTGTTATGCAGTTCAGCACTGATCTGTTTACCCATGTGCCAGGGATCTGCCAGGCGTGGCTGCTACAGAGGAGACAGGCATTCCCCTGCTGCTCGTGGACACCGCCGGCTGTGGGCTGTTTGAGCTGGAGCAGGACGATGACCTGTCCAGGGGAAACCCAGGTGAGCCCGCCAGTGGGCTGGCTCAGTCCTTACAGACTTGGGCGGGCTCTTCTTCGGGCCTGTTGGCTTCAGGTTGCCCCACTCACTTGGGGGGGCATGAGAAGAGGGAGAGGCTGAGAGCTGGCTCAGAGGCTTTAGGGCCAGGCTCTAGGGCCGGGCGGCCCCGCACTCTACGTGGGTATTGGAGTGGCAGGCAGCGGTTCCTGGCCATCCCCTGATCTCATGGCCTCAGCTTGGGCAGCCAGGAGTCATATCTCTCAGCACCCAGCACACCTCAGGACAGCCAGGTCATCTCCATTTGTGTGAACCCATGTTTCCAGGTCCTGTGCACAAGGCCTGGTGATCTGACCCTGGTGACAGGCTCAGTGACAGAGGTTGACCCCACCTGTCCCCATGCTGACTGCTTGTCCTCTTTCCATTCCAGGTGAAGTCAGCCTCGTCAGTCTGCACATCCAGGCTCTGGTGGATGCAGGTGTCCAGGCAGGGGACATTGCTGTCATCACGCCCTACAACCTCCAGGTGTGAGGGGCTCCCTTTGACCCTTTGTCTTGGTTACTTTTTTCTAGTTGCTGAGACAAAATATCTGGCATCCAAAATTAAGGAAGGAAAGGTTTAGTTAGCTCAGGTTGTGGAGGTTTCAGCCTGCAGTCAGCTGGCTCCTAGGGAGGGTGGCATGGCGCAGGGTCAGCAGTGCAAGGCGGCAGAGCAAGACAGCAAAGGCAGCAGGAGCAAAAGGGAGGGAAGCAAGCCCTTTCCTTATATGTATATTGGCTGTCTGCTGGTGCCCACATCATCTCTGTGCCCTCTTCTACAAATTGATGTTTATCAAGGACCCTAGCGCCCTGCTGAATCACTTAGTTCAACTTTTAAACTTCTGAAGTTGATACCGTGAACAACATCCCAGAGTGTAAGGGCCTGTCCTTTTCACCCAGGATGTAGAACTGCTGAGTTTCTCAGCTAAACTTTTAGACTCCTCAAGTTGACCCAGTGTATCAACCGTAACACCCCCTTTTGTTGTCCTCTGTACTAGTGAGACTCAAGACAACCCAAAGAGCCTAAAGAACGTAGGTGTGGCGGTACAGGCTTGAGTCCCAGCACTTGGGAGGCTGAGGCAGGTGGACCACCTCGAGTTCAAAGCTTGGGGCTACATAGTAGTGAGTTCAGGGCCAGCCTGAACTACATAATGAAACCCTGTCACAAATCAAACAACTACAAAAAGAGAACTTAAAACAGTAGTTCAGGGGCTGGTGAGATGGCTCAGTGGTCTAAAGCACCTACTTAGAACAAGCTTAGCAAAGCACAGGGACCGCGGTTCAATCCCCCAGCACCACATGCCAGCCAGCCCCGCCCCCTGGTGGGCTGAGCTGGCCACACACACACACACACACACACAAATAAACACACACACACACACAAATAAAATTTAAAAAAATAAAATAAACATGAAGAAGAAAGAGTTTATTTGCTATGGTGACCAAAAAGCCCAGAGGTAGACTTGACCTCATCATGGCTCAATTGCCCAAATGACATCAAGTATAGCTGTGTCTGTCTCACTCTGCCCTGCCTGCCCTGTCCTTATGCCTGATTCCCCCATTCCATCTTTGTTTTCAGGCACCTGTCTGCAGGTGGCCTGGCATCCTTAGGGTGGAATAGCCTCGGCTTGACACTCACTATCCTGGCTTAGGTCGCCTCCCTGCCCCCGCTTTGCTTGATAGGAGCACACCTGCCAGTGTCGTGTCCTCCAGTGTCACTTGTCCTGGCTCACAGTCGCACATGGGCTGACATTGGTGGCTGTCCGGAGCCAAAAGCAATGAAGCAGTCCCAGTGACAGGCTCATGTCTGACAGCTTCTTTTTCTCTGTGTCCCCGTGTGTCTGGGAGAAGGGCAGTCTTTCGGACTGCCTGTGGGCTCCCCTCAGCCTCGAGGCCCTTGCCGAAGGAGTGGCAGGTCTTGAAGCCACCTTGACTTTTTTTTTTTTTTTTTTTTTTTATTTTAGTGAGAAAAAAAGATAAAATAGCACTGAAACACTTTCAAAACAGGTTAGTAGGACAGTTATAATAATACTTTGCATATTGTCTTCATAGTAGTCAGAGGACATGATGTAGACATGAAATCTTGTCTAAACAATATTAGTACAAACCTCACTGAACTAAGAGAAAGTAGCTGTATTTCTATCCTATCTTGTATATTCATACATAATGTATTGGATGAAAGGTCATTTATTTTTATTTTTCTGATAGTTTCACATTTTATTCACTATTTGCAGTTAGTCCTCTGGGTTACTGCTCTCACTCAGCCCATCACTGTTTTCTCTGTGTATAGTCACACAAAGGAATGTGAGCAAGAGGATCTAACTTGAGCTCTACAGTTTACTACCCAAAGGGTAGAGACACTCATATCATGCAACTGGGGACATTTCTGAGGGCTAAAAGGAATATTAGTAACTGCACAACATCCAGAGCATACATGGCCTCTGCCACACAAAGTAGAACATACTGTGTTCACCCTAGTTAAGGAGTACTGTCTTCAGTTGTCTGGCCACCCTGACTTGTGAGGGTGACAGTGCTCGGGTTTCAGGTGGAGCTGCTTAGACAGAGCCTGGAGCGCAAGCACCCTGAGCTGGAGATTAAGTCCGTCGATGGCTTCCAGGGCCGGGAGAAGGAGGCTGTGGTGCTGTCCTTCGTCAGGTCTAACAGGAAAGGTATGAGGTCTGCGCAGAACTCGCTGGGGCCGCACAGAAGCTAGTGGATTCTGAGGGTGTCAGGGCTTCTGCTCATCCCTGCCAGGGAAGTGTGGAGCGCAGCTTCTGCCCTCTGTAAGTCTTGTGCAGAAGAAGACTAAGTGGTTAGGACCTCTAGGGTGCAGCAGAGCCTGGGCAGGCGGGAAGTGTCCTGGGGGTGACTTCCCAGCAGCTCCGCTGAGGCTGAGCCCTCATTGGCCCAGTGAGTTGGGGAGGGGGGTGCATGCATTTCAGGCAGAGGGAACAGAATCTGGAGGCTCCGTGGCAGCCGTGTGCACTCAGGGAGCTGGTGGTTGGGGGCGGGCGGGGCACCTTGTTGAGGTGGAGCCCTGTCTTGAAGCCTAGAGCTTGTCTTCTAGCCTTAGAGCAAAGCTATGGCAATAAGAAAATTATACCCAGGGCCAGGGAGATGACTCAGTAGAATAAGGGCCTAAGTTCAATCCCCGGCTCCACCAAAAAAAAAAGAAAATTATACTTAGCGACTCCACTTTAGCTAGTGGGCCTGAGAAGCATCTTCAGAAGGTTGGAAATAGATGAGGGTGGGAAGGCCCTTCACCTCGCCCCTGGAGTACCAGCTGCTGCCCCTCCCCGGCTGTGCGTGTCTGGGCTCAGGCAGGAGGGCTCTGTCTGCACCTGGCCCCAACAGCAGCTCGGGATCCTCCAGTGCATTTTGGTGCCACACAACCACACTCGACAGCAGAGGTGGCACAGTGCTACACAGATGGGGCATCCCATCTACACATATGGGGCACTCAGGTGGAAGGCACCCACAGATGTGGGTCGCAGGCTGGGGGTCCCCCAGGTTGGGAGGACGCTGAGGATGCTGCAGAGAAGGTGTGAGAGTCTGCTTCTTGTTGGTCCCCTCTCCTCTGGCCCTTTAGGTGAGGTTGGGTTCTTGGCCGAGGACCGGCGGATCAATGTAGCTGTCACCCGAGCGCGGCGGCACGTGGCAGTCATCTGTGATTCCCGCACTGTCAACAACCACCCATTTTTGAAGACCCTGGTGGATTATTTCACCAAGCATGGGGAAGTGCGCACGGCTTTTGAGTACCTTGATGATATCGTCCCTGAAAACTACGTCCATGAGGGTTCCCAGGGCCATAGCCAGGCCGCGGCAAAGCCTCAAGGCCCCACTTCCTCAGCCAGGAAGCCACCTAGAAGTGGGCGGCAGGAGGGCAGCCACGAGGCAGGAGCAGCTGCAGGGCAGCATCGGAGGAAGCCAGGCCCAAAGTCTTTGACCTCTGAAGTCCCTTCTCAACCCAGCTTCAATGGGGACAGCCAGGGGGGCTCAGGAAGTTCAGAAGGTACAGTGCGCCTCAGGGCCGTGATTGAGGAGTTTGTGGCCAGTGAGGAGAGGCAGTTAAAGTTTCCCATGTCCTTGAGTTCTCACGACAGGCTGCGGGTCCACCAGATAGCTGAGGAGTATGGGCTGCGGCATGACAGTGCTGGGGAGGGGAAGGCGAGGTTCATCACTGTGAGCAAGAGGGACCACGTGGAGGTCAGCAGCAGCAGAGCTCCCCTCCCTCCTGTGCCCCCCAGCCCTGCGCAGCCAGAGCAGCCCCCCGAGAAGCAGTGTGACCAGGCCCCAGTAGACCTGAAGGTGCTGCACCTAGAGAGGCTGCAGAGGGAACAGCACACCCGGGAGCAGCCAGCCAAGAAGGGGCAGCCAGTCATAGGCTCTGGGCAGCCGAAGTTTCCAGAAAAGAAAAAGAAAAAAGCAGCCAAGGGTAAGTTGTATCAACTATGGAGCATAGGTGTAGTGTTCCCTTACCTGAAACTACCATCCTCAAAAGTAGTTGTGGATTTCTGTGGGTGACACTGCCACCTGTCGTGTTGCACTGTTAGTTTTAATCATGTCACCTGCTTCTGGCTCTGTCTACCCCTGGACCTGAGTGACAGGTTCCTTCCTGGTCTTGGGCAGGCCCCAGCAGGTAAGAAGCACTCAGTGGGCTTACTGTCACAGAGAGGTGGCAGCTGCAGTCCCACCAGAGTCAGGCAGTGCCTACGGGCTCCCTCTACACTCTCTGAACTCTCTGTTCCCAGCCTGCTGGGCCCCAGGGTGAGCCAAATGCTTCTCACGGGGATCTGGTGTGTGTGCACTCCCGCAGAGTGTGCCTTGGTTGGCCATAGCCTGGATTTGCTGGACACTTCTGAGGTCCCTGTTAGAGCCTCATCACTGTCTGCAAGATCACAAAGGAGTTTGGCTCTCTTTTCTTGTCAGCTCCTGGAACGCAGAGCAGTACAAACCTCCAGCCCTGCCCATTGGGTGTGGGATTCTAGTAGAGGAAAAAGACTATCTCTGTTTTTAAGCTGAGAGGGGTGATAGGATCCCTGGCTCAAAGGGCAAGGTGCCAAGACCATGTGACAGTAGGATGGCATCTCCTACAGGAGTCAGTGAGTGCTCACCTATGCTTTGGGGTTACAAGGACTGGGCACCTGTGGAATCCCTGCCACACTCAGGGACGCTGGCACCATCCCTCTGGGGAAGTGCTCCTTTTTTTTTTTTCAGTGGAACCAGGGATTGAACTCAGGCCCTTTCGATTGCCAGGCAAGCACTTATTCTACTGAGCCATCTCTCTGGCCCCCTGGAAGTGCTCCTTTGGCAGCCACTTTCCAGGTGCCTTTTGCTATCTTGATTCAGACCTGGCCTATGTGCAGGGTGTCAGGCTCTGAACCATTGTCCTAGGGAGTTGGCGAGATGTAGATCCCTTCATGACCAGCTGCCCGACCAGCTCTCTGCTGTGGCCTTTCCCTCGGGGTTGGGGTGGCCCTGGTATCCCACAGCACGGCTGGGTCATGTGTGCTTTCAGCAGAAGCTTGGGTCAGGTGGAGAGTGACAGAAGGTGCCCTTGTGTTTGCCACATTTCCCAGTGTGCTCTGCCCCCTCGCTCCCTGCTAGGGCCTGAGGGTGCTCTGCCTGGCTCCTGGGCCTGCACTCCCGAGGATGCTTGCTGCCCGTGCTGCTGTTGCACCTCCCGCAGGCCTTCTCAGGCCGCTTGATTCTGCCCAGGGGGTGGGGTTAGCACTCTTCCTTTCCTCCTCTCAGGCAGAAGTGCCTGCTTAAGTTTAAAACAGACACCATAGACCCTTGAGATTGTGGGGCACCTCTGGAGCCCCTGGGCTGTGTCACAGGCTGCCATGTGCCACACATCTGAAGCTTCCTGTTCTGATCTCTGTGGCCGCTTACTGTGCACACCCTGCACTAGGAACAAGCCAGACCTGCCTGAGTGCATCCTGGAGCTCACCCGCCTTGTGCCAGGGTTCCCACTCGCCTGTCTCCCGCGCCTCTTCACTTGGGTGTGGATGAGTGCTTACAGTGCACATGCATTTCACGTTACAGAGCTGAGCATTTCCTAGCCTTTCTTGTGTCTGTTGAAAAGGTGGAGATCGCCCAGTGGGACACTGAGTGCTGCGGGTCATCAGGCCCTGCAGGTCATCAAGCCACTTCTTGGAATGGGGCTTCTGTGTTTTTTTGGGGTTTTGTTTTTGCAGTTGATGCCATGCGAACATCCTTATGTTTAAATGTGTTCAAAATGAGAGAGGGCACCTTCAAAGGAGGGTGGCGGGCTGGGGAGATGGCTCAGTAGAATAAGTGTTGCAAGCACAAGGGCCTGAGTTCAATCCCTGGTTCTGCAAAAAATAAAAAAAAAAAAAAAAAAAAAAAGGGTGGCATTGTCTCAGGCACCTGTGTGCTGCCACACCCCGTTCGGAAGGTCCTGCCGTCTTCCCAGTATGCCGGGCTGTGTTGTCTTGAGCAGGGTATTGGGGGTCAGTGGCCCGGTGAGGGCGAGTCAGGACAGTGCAGCCTGGACAGGCGGTGAGTTTTCCTGAGAGTCCCTCTGCATGTTTGGTAGGGCCCAGAAGTAGGAACTGGAAGGAACATGTGAGGGCGTGGCCTAGCTGCAGCTTTGCTGTGAGCCAGGCGGGAGAATCTGGTCTCCATGTTCCCCTCTTGCTGAATGATGCTTTCTCCCCAGGACGAATTGCCAAGGATCTGCCCTCTGAGGAGGACTTCGACGCTTTGGTGTCAGCTGCTGTTAAGGCTGACAACACCTGTGGCTTTGCCAAGTGTTCTGCCAGCGTTGTGACTTTGGGACAGCTCTGCCAGTTCTGTGGCCACCGCTACTGCCTCAGCCACCACCTGCCCGAGGTACACGGCCCCCTCTGGCTGGACAGTGGGGGAGAACATGCGGTGCAGACTTGCCCCATTCAGTCCGTGCTGCTGTTGGAACACCCTTGGGAATGTCTTCTTTAAGGACAGAAGCAGGCGTTGTCTTAGGGTTTGTCCTGAATACTTGGAGTATGGGGAAGTAAAATGCCATGTTTTTTGAGTTCCAGCCATGTCAGGGATATGGGTGGAGAGGGTGTATCCTAGTGTCCCCGGGCTTTGTGGTGAGTTGATTGGTCCCAGTGTAGGGCCTGGGAGGTAGGACTCAAGGGCCATGGATCAAGATGGCAGCGGTGCCATGGCCTTTTCACGTACATGTCAGGGAGACCTCTGAGCCAGGTCCAGGAGCCTGTGGGCAGCTGGGCTGGAGCAGGCCCCATCTCTGCCACAGTGGGCTCTGGGAAGGAGACTGGCATAGGGTACTGATGCAGCTGTCTGGGTACTCTGAGGAGAAATCCCAGGAACCAGGGCTGCAGCAGGAGACCTGTCCACCCGGGCGGGGCTTAGACCAAGGGGTGAGCAGTGGAGGGCCATGGCGAGGTGGGCTGAGGGCAGGAAGGCAACCCCTCCAGCCTGAGGAAGCCCTGGGTTAGTCGGGGTTGGAGCAGACTGGGAGGCAGGGGCAGTGGAGGCTGGATATGGCCTGGGCGCCTCCGGCTTGAAGTGGAGGTGGCACTGAGGTGTCACTAGGCCACAGTGTCACCACATTGGCTGTAGCAAGGAGGAGCTTGCGCCTGGCATGCAGTGGGAGCTGGCCACGGGGCTGTATGGTCGTTGAGGTGTTGCTTTCTGTGCACGCTTGCCAGTGAAAGTCTTATGTGGGGAGCCTCTGCAGAATCTCTCTGGGACTCAGCAGTCCCCAAGCTCTTCACTGGTGGATGTGCAGGCTCCCCACCCCCACCCTGTGGAGCCCTCACCTGATTCTTCTGCCCTTCCCAGATCCATGGCTGTGGTGAGAAGGCTCATGCCCACGCCCGACAGAGAATCAGCCGGGAAGGGGTCCTGTATGCCGGCAGCGGGACCAAGGACAGGTCCCTGGACCCTGCGAAGAGGGCCCAGCTCCAGAGGAGGCTGGATAAGAAGCTGGGGGAGCTCAGCAGCCAGAGGACAAGCAAGAAGAAGGAGAAGGGGACGTGATGTGGCCCTTTGGAGGGAGAGCCTGCAGCTGGTGCCCGGCCTAGGACACTGTCCTGCAGGCCAGGACATGGAGCATCCTCAGGGACAAGCTTTCCCAGCCTGGGGACCTTTGCCCAGTCTCCTCCTCTCCCGGGGGGGATGGAAATCTCACATGTGGGTCTCAGGGAAGGTCCTGTTTTGGAGATGCACCTGGAGTCGGCCTCTGGCACAGCAGTACGTTAGGGTGAAGACACCGAGAGAAAAAAGGAGGCCCGGGTGCCCTGAATGCCCTGGAAGGCAGGTCTTGGAAGGGCTTTCTGTGCGTGTGTGCCATCTGGCCATCTGCAGCCACCTCCCTGCCTGGGTTCCTGGTGCTTGCGCTGATACTTGCCCTGAAGGCTGTGGATGCAGCCGATCTCTGGTTAGAGGGGCTCCTGTATGCACCCACCCCCGTGACTGGTTGGGGACCGGTGTAAGGGCATTCTCTGGTGGTCCTCCCAGGAGAGAGCTGTCCAGAACATCCATGTCACCGACAGCCTACAGATGCAAGGCTCTCCAAGCACTCTGCCAAATATTTATAAGAACCTCAACAGAGGTATTTTAGTCTCAGGCTCTTACTCAAATGAACATAAATTATTTTAAAATGAAATAAAAATTCATGCATACAATCCATAGTATGCTTGCTGTGGTTCAGGTGAGCCGCCTTTCCTATTCTTGCTCCAGTATCTCTTCTGGAGCGGGTGCTGGACACAGGATGAGCTCACATTTGCCGTCAACCTTCAGGGCATCTAAGAGCATTGGTAAGGTGGACTGCAGGTGTGCGTGTGTGGAGCTGCCACTGGGGATATTGTTGTCCTGTCAGCAGATGATGAGGGGAAAGGGAACATGATGAGGCAGGGCAGGGTCTTACTATGTAGTTCAGGCTGGCCTTGGACATACTATGTGGCCCAGGCTGACCTCGAACTTGAGGTAGTCTTCCTGCCTCAGCCTCCAGAGTGCTGGGATTACAAGCGTGTGCCACCATGCCCAGCCTTGCTTGGGTCTTCTATCCAGGAGAAGAGGGTTTCTGAGGTAAAGTTTAGCACTGTAAACTGGCAGTGTGGAGAGGGAGAGGCTGCCTTGAGGAGGGACTGCGGCTGGAGTGGAACGTGTCCTCCCTGCCAGCTGCATACATTGGTCACTGTTTTCGCTAGGGCAGGGCCTCTCCCTCCCTCTGGGTGTCTTGCTTGTTTAAACCCATTGATGGCTTTGTTTGTGGTACTGGGAATTGAACTTGGGGCCTACCACGTACTAGACAAGCTCTCTACCTCTCAGTTCTACTCCAGCCCTTTTATTTTTTATTTTAAGATGGTCTTGCTAAGTTGCCTAGCTTTTCTTTTTCTTTTTCTTTCTTTCTTTCTTTCTTTTTTTTTTTTTTAAATGTATTTAGTACATGGTCTTACCATCAGATCAGACTCATAGTGATCCTCCTGTTTTCAGCCTCCCCAGCGCTGGGATTACAGGCGTGCACCACCATGCCAGGACTTGGTCGCCAGCTCAGTGTGCCTGAGGGCTGGGCCGGTGAGGCATGCGGTACCAGGGATCAAACCCAGTCTCTCTGCTTGCCTAAGCAGGTGCTTAGTCCGCTGAGCTATCTTTTTTTTTTTTTTTTTTTTTTTAATGTATTTAGTACAGGGTCTCACTACACAGTTCGGACTCATAGTAATCCTTCTGTTTTCAACCTCCCAAGTGCTGGGATTATAGGTGTGCACCACCATGCCCAGTCTCAGTTGCTGTCTCAGCGCCCCCTGGGGGGGAGGGCATGACACCTAGCTGATCGAACCCTGTAGGTCGGGTGAGATATTTTGCCAGCCCTTTTTTGTCTTTGAGACTGTGTCTGATGTGCAGTTCAAGCTGGCCTTGAGCTCACTTTGTAGCCCAGGCTGGTCTTGAACATGCCTCAGCCTACTGAGTTCTGGGATTATAGGCTTGTACCACCAAGCCTGGCACTGACCTTAAAATTGTGACCCTCCTTTATGTCTCAAGCAGTTGAGATTATAGAAATGTGGTACCACACCCAGCCCACAGATGGCTTTTGGAATGAATTGTTTGGGAAGGAAAGTAGACAGGGTCTTTCTTGCATTGTGTACCTGAGTGCTATGTAGGGCTCATTCAGATATTAACAGCCAGTAAGTGCCACAGGAGCAGTGTGGTGTGGAGCAGCACAAGCATGCAGGTGGTGGCTGTGCACCTGGAGTCCTTGAGAAGCTTCAGAGGGAGTGTGGTTCACCGTTGGCAGGGGCTGAGGTGGCGAGCAGTGGCGGCTGCTCCAGCTGCCAAGGTGCAGGCTTTCTCTCCCTCACCTGTGCTCCTCAGCCTGGCCCCTGGTCCAAGCACAGGGAGGCTCCACATATCCAGCAGGTTCCTGGGTCATCGTGCTTTCAGCCACAGTGAGGCCAGACTCCAGGATGAGCCAGAATACAAAGGGCCAACTGGTATTCACCTTGGGATCCACACACACATGCTGAGGGACATTCACTCCTACTTGGCGTGGCTGGCAGCCTCCTAGCCTTCTCAGGGACACAGTAGCTTCAGGACAGGAGGCTGAAGAGAAACACAATATGCGAGCATGAGGCACCTGGGTCCAGTTACACTTCACTTCCACTCCACCTTTCCCAATGTCCTGAACTAGTAAACCCTTTGTAGCTGAAGAGAGCTTGCCTTGGGTTTCTGTCACTTTCTCTGAAGGATCCTTGCTGGTCCAGCCATGCACATCTGTGCACCTTGTTGGGCATGTGCACTCAGCATGAACACAGTGAACCTCCCCACTGGCCCCACCTTCTCCTAGGAAAAGAGTAGGATTGGAATCAGCTCTACTCGGGTGACCCTGCCATGGGCTATCCCACTGGGAAGGGCTTGGGCACAAGGAGGCAGCCAATGTGGGCTGGGCACTTGAGGTCTCTGGCATTGCCAGTGTGCTCATGGATGCCAGCACCACCACCCCTCATGGCAGTCCCCTCACAACCTGTGTGTTCACCTTTAAACAGATGGGAGCAGTCATCACCTTGCCAGCTGTGTGGCTCCACCAGGAAGGTGACCAGTAAGCAGCATCGTGGCCTGGCATGGCCTGGGTCCCAGTGGATGGTCTCCTTGGCATTGCCCTACACTGTGTCTAGCTGTGGCGACTGCAGCCCATTTCCCTCTGCACAAGCCTTCTCCCCTTCACTACTGATGACCATCATCCATTGCTGATGATGTTCCACTGAAATGTCAAAGTTGACAGTGAAAACATCCAAAGTTTCCATTTCTATTCTAGAGAGACTGCATTAGGAAAACGTTTGTAGCTGGTTGCTTGGAAACACTTCTCCAGCCTGGCTAGACAGGTTCACCAAAAGAAAGCGGCACCCCAGAGCCAGGTGTCTTCTGGCCAGCAGGCGTGATCTTGCAGACTGTCCTGCAGGCTGCAGCCCTTCCATGAGGGGGGCGGCTCAACAAGACCTCAGCAGAGGAGAGGAATCCACAGCAGCCTCATCCCTGTGGAGGTGGCATGGAGGAGGCCCTGCCCATTACTCTCCAGGGAATGAGGGGACACAGACAGCTGCAGCACCTGGCCGTGGGGATCAGCCCTGACATTACAAGGCCCCTGCACAGCGCCTGGCTTTCTGTCCTTGTCCTTATCTCACAGAGCTGCAGTGACAAGGGACAGAGGCAGCTGCAGTAAATGGCATAAATCTGCTCTGACAGGAGGGCCAGTGAATGGTCCTTGGTGCTCCTAGCAGAGGTGAAGGTGCCCAGGGACCCGGAAGCCAGTCAGCAGCCTGTGAAAGTCACTGGTCTGCAACCCTGCCTAGCTTCAGGGCCCAGCTTCCTGTCATGACTGCACCCCAGCTCCTGGCCAGGCGGGCTGAGCACTGCAGCTAGCCGGCCCCACTCAGTGTTTATCTTGGTTTATTTGGGGCGCTACCCAGGGGGACAGGGCCAGTGGGTTGCTGGGCACCGTGCTGAGTTGGGAAGTCTGGAGCCCAAGTTACAGCCTTGGCACTTGAAACCACGTTCTGTGCCAGGGGCATGGCAAGAGCGCAGCCTTATTTGGGCTGGAAACTTATTCGTGTGGAGAGGAGTGGAATGAGCAAGCAGACGCCCCACGGGCGGCCGCTGCTCACCGTCCCAGCCCAGGCGTCCGGTTCGCAAATCATTTCAGCCTCTTGGGGTAGCTCAGGGCTCTGCTGCCCTCAGCTGCCAGAGGGGCTCAGCTGTGCAGCTTCACTGGGGTGTGTGCCACCCCCAAAACCCACCCACTGCAAGTGTTGATTCAGAGAAGTGTAGGAGAGGCAGGCCATGCCACCTGCCGCCCCACGGGGCTCTGGCTGCTCACTGCATGAACGTGTGTTCCTTTTCTTGGGTGGATTCTTAGATCTGCAATGGCCGGGTCTTACCGCGAGTGTAGGGGAGGGATTCTGTTTGTGTTTTTGATTTTTTGTGCTGGGGATCAAATCCAAGCAAGCCTGCTCTACCACTGAGCTCCAGATCCCCTTTTTCTTTTTATTTGTTTATTGCACGGTTTATAGGGTCTTATAACATAGATCGGACTTATAGTAATGCTCCTGTTTTCAGCCTCCCAAGAGCTGGGATCACAGGCCACACCCAGTCTTATTTTTCATTTTGAGGCAGGGTCTCTTGCTAAGTTGCCCAGGCTATCCTTGAACTTGCAGTTTTACATTTCTATGACCTTTTAGGAGGGTTTCAATTTCTGTACATTCTTACTAGCATTTGGTATAATCTGATTGTTGTTGTTATTTTGTCTTTTTGAGATAGGGTCTCCCTATGCAGTTCAGGCTGGCCTTGAGCTCACTTTGTAGTACAGGCTGGTCTTGAACTTGCAATGATCCTCCTGCCTCAGCCTCCCCAGTGCTAGCATTGCAGGTGTGCACCACTGTGCCTGGCCTTGTCTGATTATTATAGCCATTCCAGTGCTCTCTGGAAACCCCTTTAGTTTTGCTCTGTGTTTCCTTAGAGACTAATGCTGTTGAGCATCTTGCTATGTGCTGTGATGCGTTCTGTATCTTCTCTGACAAAATGTCGAGTCCCATGTCTTCATTTTACTGAATGAGAATAGAACCCAGGGCCTTGTGCCTGCCAAGCATATATATGCCCTACCTCTGAGCCACCTCCTCAGCCTTTGGCCTGTTTCTAAGGTGGGTGGCTTGCTAAGTGTGGTGACACATACCAGTTATCCCAGCACTCTGGGAAGGGGAGACAGGAGGAACAGGATGTCCACTTGGATGGGCAACTTAGATTCTGTCTCAAAATAAAAAACACATGAGCTACAGAGTAAGTTCAAGGCCAGCCTAAACCACATAGTGAGACCTTATCTCTAAAAACCTAACTAGGGTTTTTAGCTCAGTGGACTAAGCATCTGCTTTGTCAAATGCAGGGACTAGGGTTCAATCCCCAGTCTCATGTGCTGCGCCAGCCCCATCCCCAGGTGTGCTCAGCCTGTGACCTAGTTGGCATGGTGGCACACACCTGTAATCTCAGTGCTAGGGAAGCTGAAAACAGGAGGATCATTACAAATCTGATCTGCATAGTGAGACCCTGTACCAAATACATAAAATGAAAAAAAAAAAAATTCCAAACTGAAAAAACCTAACCAAATGAAACAAATGGCTAGGGTTATAGGTCAGTGCAA